TCGACTGTGCTTTGGATAGAATAGGGGGTCATGACTCGGCTGTATGTCCCCAAAACAACGATCGAAATGGGTCATAATTGAGAGAATTGAAGCCATCATCCGGAGCATGTCCTCAGCATCGTCTGTCGCTCAGGAGACGATAGGGAAGCATCAGGCCACTGTAAAGACGGAAGTGGCGGCCAGAAGCTTCGCTGGAGGGGAGAATACGACACAGCTGCATAAACATACCTCGACCAACAAACGCGCGGTCTCCATGCTACGCTCTCGACTGCGACGCAACGGGCCTGGTCGCGGAGTGATCACCCCCTCCTCGAGCGTTGCTTTCGAGCAGGGCCATTGGTGGCTTGCCCGCGTGACGACCTCTGGGATGATGCGATGTTGATAGTACCTCGCTCACCGGTGCCTCGCCGTGGTGTTTCAAAGTCACTGTGCCTTCTACCCCGCACGCTTTGCCCTTCGGTCTGGACGAATGAGTCGAGACACAGACACACACACATCCCCCCCGCGCTGAAGCATTGCCCCTGATCGAAGGGCCTTTAAAGGTGTCCCCTCGACCTCTCGTTTCTTGCAATAGAGGCTCTTCTCTTCTTCGTACCACCATCCATCATCAACCATCATCGCCTCTTTATCAAACAACACCAACATCAACCGGTTTCTCACAGCTGCCTTCTACGACAGCTAACACTTACCGCAGTCGACTTACAATCTCGTAACGTCGCTTTCTAATCACCAAAACCCACAAACAACCGCCTCAAACCAGGTAAGGCCTCATCGCCTCCCACGGCATCCAAATCCTACCCCTCTGACCACCACGCAGTCACCATGCCTCCCCGTATTCCCGTCACCAAGGGCTCTGAGACCCTCTGCTACGGCGCCGCCACCGTCGCCGCCCTGGCCCCCCTCTACTTCATGATCCCCGGCGCCGAGCAGCGTCTGGCCTCCCAGACCGCCAAGTGGGCGCCCCGCTGGGAGCGCAACATCAGCTACTTCACCCCCTCGGCCGAGCGCGGCATCAAGCGCGTCGAGCCCCCGGTCGCCCGCACCGTCCAGGCCATGGAGAGGCGCCTGCCGCTCGAGAAGATGGCCAAGGGCATGGAGAGGCGGATCAACAACGGCATTGACCGCTTCAACAATGTCAGGAAGTAAAGCTCTGTTCGGATGCAGCGAAGGATTCCGGCGTGGACATGATTATGTACGATGAAAGCGGCTTGGTGAGAGGAGGAAGGTTAGATACTAGAGCGTGCCCTAGATGGTGACTCGAACAATACCTTGGGGGATGGAATACAACTTTGTTAAATTCATGAGGCTTTTGTTGATCTATGTGATGGGTGGCACGCAAGTGGCCTGCGATGATCGTAGTTATTTCCGGCAGCATTGCTGTTCTAGCTGATGCTCTTTATGCCATGTTTACCTGGATGTATGATGATGATTGTGATGATTTGTACAAAACAATATTAATGCATCAAATGGCAAAGCCAATCTGCTGGGGCCCCTTGGTTTTGAACAGTCGTCATACAATCATTTCTAGCCTTGATACTGGAAGTCGGCACTACGTATCTCTTCATCAATGTCGGAATGTCCTTGACGATCAAAGAAGGACAATTCAGAGGAGACTACCGCTCGGTTGGTATGCATGTTGGACCCCAAAGTAGCAGGCTCCTCTGTTCTTCCCTCTGGCGCCTGAGACGTCGATGTGCGGATGAATGGCGAACTTGAGCGAAATGAAGTCACTCCCGAGGATCCTTCAAAGTAGCAAGACGTCATTTGATCTGTAAACATTGATGAAAACGCTCAGCCGATTGATCGGGATCGAGCAGTGAGCAACCGCACGATCCCACCAGTGGAAATAGGCCCTGCTGCACAGTCTGTGTGACGAGGCTGGCATCACCCTGTACTCCGATTCATGGGAAGGCATCATAAAGCGAAAACGATAGCATCTTGCGGCATGAAACTGCTTGTCATCGACCAGGTTCGGATTTGTATATATTTTGTCTTCACGTTCACCTTGCCGTTCGAGAGTGTCAATTGACCTTACAGCCCAACATGTGCGTCCACCTAACTGTAGTGGTCTGGCACCACTCACGGCACACCACACGACAGTTGACGTACGCCGCAACCGCTGCACATCAAACAAGGTGAGCAAAGGACAGAGGGGGAGGGAGAGGGGAAGAGAGCGCAGACCTGGGGTCGCCGTTCGCCACTCGGCAGCGGCGGCCACCGCAACGTGCAGCACACCTGAAAGATGCGAGCCAGTCATGTGCCATCGCCGCCCTCTAGGAAGACGCGCCAAGTTCATTCCTGAACTCTACTGATGGTTGGGGTAGGTCGCTTCCGGGGACTACAGAGCTTCAGGGGCCGTCGCACAGGAAATGAGCTCCCACAGCTGAGCCGCCGATTTGGGTGTTCAACCACAACGACGAATACACCTATCGGACTATGTCGCCAGGAAGATGTTTTGCACGCGAGCAAGCCTACGCGTCCGAGCAAAAGCCATCATTCAGTGTCCAACTGAAGCAATGCTCTATTCAGGGGCAAGAGCGGGGTATCTCCCCGCTCACCGAACCCTACCGAGCACTCACCGAAACACGCCTACCTCCAATGATGATGGCTTCGAACTCAAAGAGCACTGACATGGTCGTGTTCCAGAGCTGAGACAACGCTCTCCATGCCCGCGTCTGACTAGGCTGGCGACGACGCCCACTCAGGAAATGGCTTCGTGGGCGGTAGAATGAAGAAATCAATGGTACCGTCGCGTGCACCCGAGGTCCCTGCCTATCGTTGCTTCAGCCGTCATCTCCAATGATAGCAGCCATCGAGCGGTTTTCACCCCTGGTGAGACCGCTGCAGCCTTGGCACGTCATCGCCGCCGTGATATTCATCTCCATAGCGATCCTCGTCTCCGCAACCCTGTTGAGCATCGTCTTCGGCCTTCAATACCCCTCGAACGTGCCGCGCATCAGAGAAAAGCCCGGCGCCGGCCACTTCAGCTTGAGAACTCGATTAGCTTACTACACTGACTGCGAGGCCCTCTTCCTCGGGGCCTACGAAAAGGTGAGCTCCTCCGTGGAGTCATTGAGTACCCCCGTTGTTGAGCGCGAGCGCTGAAAGCTGCGCAGTATGGCAAGTTTGGGAGGACTGTTCTAGTTCCCGGGCTCGGCCTCCGCACCGAGGTCATCCTACCACCGAGTGCTCTGCGCTGGATGTTGTCTCTCCCGGACAACAGCATCAGCTCAAGCCACGCGTTCGTCGAGTTGGACCAGCTCACGTACACGCTGGGCGAAGACCGGCTGTTGGTCGACAGCTGGAACGCCCTGGTTGCGAAGCGCGACATGAACGCCGTGCTGGAGAAGGTTGCGGCTGTGCTGAATGACGAGCTTCGCGTCGCGTTCGATGAGCAGTTTGGCACGGACACGGAAATCTGGCTCGAGGTGGATCTGAACAAGGCCATGCCTCTCGTTATTTCGCAGGCTGCTGGCCGATACATCATGGGCCTACCTCTATGTGCGTTCGACTTTTTCGTCTCACGTACCAGTGCTGATAGAGTGTCACCAGGCAGAGACGAGGAGTATCGGCAGAGCACGATTAACGTGTCCAACTTTTTCTTGACAATGGCCGCCGTCATGGACATGGTGCCCGTCTTCCTCAAACCGATCATCGGGCCTCTTGCCGCCCTGCCGATGAATGCAGCCCTCCGCAAGTTCCGCAGCCTCCTGCGACCGGAGTTTAAGAAGCGCATGGACATGATTCAGGCTGCTGAGAAAGGAGAGCCCGTCAACGAGCCCGAGGACCTGTTGCAGATGGCCATCCGCTACGGCCTGGCGAACCGCAGCCACGAGTTTAATTTTCTCGAAATCAGCAAGCGCATGACCATCACGAACATGGGCACCACGCACCAGACCAACATGACCATGATCAACATGATGCTCGAAATCATCGACTCGGACGCCGAGTTCAACACGATTGCCCTGCTGCGCGACGAGATGCGCAACGTCCTCGGCGACGGGCCGGACATCAAATGGATCAAGGCTAAGATCGCCCAGATGGTCAAGGCCGACAGCGTCGGGCGTGAGACGCTGCGCAAGACGCCCTTTGGCAACCGCGCCATGCTACGCATGGTCGTCGCCGACTCGCTCGAGACGCCGGACGGCGTCGTGCTGCCGAAGGGGAGCATGCTGTCGGTGCTGACGCCACCGCAGCACTTTGACGAGGCGACGCATGAGGACGCGGGCAAGTTTGACCCGTTCCGCTTCTCGCGCGCGCGCGAGGGCGAGGCGACAAGGAGCGGAGCTCTTGGGTTCACGTCGACGGGAGCGCACTTTTTGCCGTTTGGGCACGGCAGGCATGCGTGTCCCGGGCGGTTCCTCGTCGATTACGAGATGAAGATGATCATGACGTATATTCTGCAGAACTACGATATCGAGTTCCCGGAGGAATACCGGGGGCGGCGGCCGCAACAGAAGTGGCAGGCCGAGGCTCGCTTGACTCCGTCTGACGGAGCCCGTATTCGGGTGAAGAGGCGGAGGGTGGCTGCGTAGGGATAGAGTATAACCAAGAACCAGAGTTTCTTCGCCGCACTGGCAGCGACGGGAAGTACATGTGCCTGGGCCAGAAATCTGGTTAATCCAGATCAGAGAAATCACGACGCATGAGATCAAGACCGCACCTCGGTTTCTGGAGAGCTGTGGAAGAGAGCTGTGGAAGAGAGCTGTGGAAGAGTAGTGGGTATTCAGAGACGAGAAAAGAACATGTGTGGCTAGAACGACTTGGTAGGTGACTCGTCTGGGTTCTTGGACGAATCGAAACGATGCAGTTCCTTCTTCTCGTGTCCAAGGATGACTAGTAAGGTGGTTAGCTAGATCTCTCAGAACAAGAGTCGGGTGCCTTTACTTCTGTCAAAAAGGTAGTAAGATGTCACGAGAAGAATAGGCATGGCAATCAACCCAGCGGTCCATCTTCTTGTGAGGCTATTGTATTCTTTCTTGTATTCCTTGCTGTTCGGATCAAGAGGGGGCCGGGTTTTCGGGGCGGCCTTCTGGCCTCGTGGTGGTTCGGCGCGCTTGGGATTCACGGCTGCGGGTGAGTTCTGTCCTGGGATCCTCACTGAAGGTGCTGTATGTGCAGTCTTCTCGGGCTGGACTGTCGCGTTCGATGGCGCGGTCGGGGACCTCAGTGTAGCTGACTTCGGTGCTGGCGCTGGCGTGGGGACCGTCGTTGGTGTTGGTGTTGGCGCGGTCTTTTTCAGCGCAGAGAGGTTCGCAAAGGGAGAGGCATTGCTTGCTGGCTTGAATCTCGTCGCGTAGCATCGCAATGCGACCGAGTTGCTTGTCGAGCACGCTCGTAGCGGTCTTTGTAGTCGGGTTGGCAGCATGATTGGTATCGTAGGGACGATGTGTCGGTGGAGGTACGCTCGTGCGGGAGTTGAGATGTTTCCGGAGCTGTTGTGCAATCAATTGATCTTGACGATGATTCCCAGGGCAGTTTGAGGGATACAGCGCAATTGTTGTTGTGCAAGTGCTAGGTATGGTTCACCTTTGAGCGGTCGCGTCTGATGTCGCGTTGGACTTTTGTCGTGAAGCAATCATCAATTGCTCGATTGGGTGGCTTGGGTGGAGCCTGCGAAGCTGCCTTGTGGGGCAGTCTGCACTTGCTGCCATCTGTTGACAACGTCGAAGCAGACCTCAACCGACGAGTAGTGACACGGCATTTAAGCCCCATGGAAACCACATGAACATGGCGATTGCAATTCGCTTCTTTTTCTCATCCCTCCAGGCAGAATCAAGAAGCAATGCTTCAAGTGGCGACATGTTCCTCTCGAACTGACTTCGATCATACAGTGCTTTCACCCCTCATGCAACAGCCACAGCATAATTGCAGCAAGCCATCACCAAACCCATGGAGTATGTAAGGTAACGTTACTCCCTCATTGCGGTGTCATGTCACCACTGAGCGTCATACTCCTCCGTCCTGGCCTTCTTCCGTGTCTCATCCTCCAGGACACTGGTATCCACCGAACGCTTCCTCGAATGCTGTGAATCTGCCAGTCAAAGTCAGCTCTCGCTCCGGCACCTGTTGACAACGCACGCTTACGAGGAGGCGTCGGCACCGCAACCTGCGCCTTCAGCGCCCGCAGCTCCCCCCTGTATTCCTGCATCTGCCGCAGCAGGATCGACAAGAGATACGCAGTCTCCTCCCTGTGCGTCTTGAGCGCGTCAATCTCCGCGCGCTGGGCCGTCGTCGTCTCGGCCGTCATCTCGCGGAGGCCCTGGAGGTCCTGTCTCAGCTTCATCGTGCGCTGGAGGTTCCAGGCGTTGAAGTCCATCTGGTCGAACTCGGCGTCCGGTCCGCCAAAGTTGAGGCTCGGGTCTTCCTCGACGGGCATCGTGGGCCGTGGTGCCTCGCTCTGCACGCTGGCCACGTCGTTCTGCTCAGACTGCTGCTCTTCGCGACGCTCCAACTGGTCCTTCATTTCCTCAGAGGGCGTGGCGTGCTGCGCAGCCAAGTGGTCGTGCTCGTCCATGACATGTGTTGGCTGCACCGGCGTCGCAAGGAGCAGCTCGTGAACAGGCATCGCGGTATAGCCGAAACCAAGAAACGGGACGGGAGCACCATATTGAACCTGGTAATCGACCAGCACGGCGCACACGTCCTCCTCCAGCGTCCCAGACTGGTGGGTATACCACAGAGCGAGCATCTGCGCCGAGCTCGGCAGCCGGTGCGAGAAGGCCTCCCCGGCCTCCCTGTGCTGGATCGCAGCGTCCAGGGCCTTTTTGATGGACCGGACGTAGACAATGTCGCGGTGGGCAGCCGGGGGTTTGGCGTACTTGTCGATCTTGTCGTAGAAGTCCCTGAGCAGCAGCGCGACCTCGCTCTTGAGCTCGGCGTTCTCTCCCGTTCTGTGGCTGTCGAGGTCGTCTTCCATGGCTGCAAGGGCCTCTGCATGTGTGCTGCAACTGCGGATTCCGCGGTAGCCGTCATTCTGGGGATCGCGTTCGTCGCTCTGGTCGTCCGAGTCTGCCATTGTGTCTTTGAAACAAGTGATGCAATATCCCTTGTGTGGATCTGATGCCGCTTCTGAACGGGTTACTTCGCGCCTCTCAGTACTGCGCAAATATGTGAGATGTGTTTGAGCTGCCAGACTATGTCAGAGTAGCGTACCTAAAGTCTTTGCCTCGTAAGAACAAGCGAGCAGTAGTCTGCCTTGAACTGGACTTTGGCCAAAAAGGCGGACGAAGGAAAGACTCAATAGGAGCTGCAAACTATTGAGATGGTGATCGTGAGGTGGGGGAGTGGAAAGAGCAGAAACAGCAGACAATCCCATCCCCTCCCACGTCCGCCTACACTGGACCTCCAGTGAATGGAGACCATTTCTTGTGGACAATAGGCTATTCAGACAATTCAAATGTCGAGAGCCACATCAAAAAAGGCAAGTGCAGGAAACGGCGCAATGGCAACGACAGTGATCTGTCCAGAATCTGTGTACTCAACCTACCACAGCAATCCAATCGAAGGCATGAAATAAGAGCATATCAGAGACCCAGAATAATCAGCAAAAAGGAAGTCAAATTCTGTATAGTGATGAATCCCACAAGCACAAAGCCGCGGCGCTACTGACATGCTACCCAAACTCCAAAATCCAATGCTCGCCCACGCACCACCGACCCTACAATCGCGCCGTCTCCTTCTGCACCTCCGCCTCCTCCCTCTTGCCACTAAAGACAACGATATCGCGCGACTTGACCGTGCCGCTCTTCGAAAAGACCTTTCGCCTCCCGCCCGTCGTGAGCGGGGCATCGTCGTCCCGATTCCGGATGTAGAAGGCCCAGTCGGCCGAGTTGTCCAGTTCGGTTTGCGAGTAGCCGTTGCCGAGCCAGGCAAACCTGTTGCCGGCGTGGACAATGTCGAGGTCGTCGAAGCGGACCTCCTTGAGGGCCTCGATGTAGTGCAGCGTCGAGCCGGGCCACAGGGCGACGACGGGGCCGTCGGCGCGGGGCTTGTACCAGGAGCGGCAGGGGTCGGACCAGACCGTCTTGGTCATGAACCACTCCTTGTACTCGACAAAGTCGCGCACGGCCTGCTCCTTGGGCGCGATCTGCACGGCGTTTGTGCTCTGCAGGCGGTCAATGACCTTGAGCATCCAGTCGGCCTGGGCCTCGATGGCCGAGAGGACGGGTCCGTTGCCGATGGGGCAGTTGGGGCCGAGCATGTTGAAGTAGTTGGGGAAGCCGGCGACGCCGATGCCGAGGTACGACTCGGGCGTGCCGGACCACTTGTCCTGGAGGTTCTCGCCGCTGGGGGCGATGATGGGGAAGCGGGGACGGAACGACGTGTCGAAGCCGGTGGCGCAGATGAGGACGTCGACGGGGTGCTCACGCCCGTCTTCGCCAATGGGGCCGCGCTCGCCGAGGGATTTGATCTCGCCGTAGACGACCGATACGTTGGGCTTGGTAAGGGACTCGAGATAGTCTACGCCTGGTGTCAGACGACGGCACCCGACGCTCCAGTCTGGAATGAGCTTTTCCTCGAGGTAGGCGTCCCCGAGCTTCTCCTTCATCTGCTGGGTCATGTAAGTGTGGGTGTCGCGGTTGATGCGGTTGTTCTTGAGGAAGATGCCGAATTGACCGTTGAGGCCGGATTCAATGTTCTTGCGGTACTCAAGCAGTGCGGCGGGGTTCTCCACAAACTCACGCTTCTCTTCTTTCGAGAAGCGATGCTGTTCGAGGCCTTGAACTGGAGAGACCCAGGTGGGCTCACGGATGAATGTCGTGACCTTTTTGCATTGGTCCCGGATGGCGGGGAGGACCTGAATACCAGACGAGCCGTTGCCGATGAGACCAACATGCTTTCCCTCCAGGCTCACGGATTCATCCCAGTTGGCGGTATGGAGGAGAACGCCTCTGTACTTGTCGAGACCAGGGATGGCAGGCCACTTCCAGTTGTTAAGGATGCCGCCAGCATTGATGAGAACATCACAGTGATCCTCGACGATGGCACCTGTGGCAAGGTCCTTGATCTTCACGTCATAACCGCCGTCCTGGTGGTTCCAAGACGACTCGACAACCTGGTGCTGCAGCTTGACGTACTGGTAGAGGGCGTATTTCCTCGCAAAGCCTTCGAAGTATGCGAAGATCTCTTTCGCTGGCGGATACACAGCGGACCAGTCAAGCTTGGGTTCGAAGCTCCATGTGTAGTTGTGAGAGGGCACATCGCAGGCACAACTGATTCTGTCAGTCATTTTCTCTAGACGGTTCGGGTTGGAAGATGGAATGTGTACCCAGGATACTTGTTCTCCCACCAAGTGCCCGATACCGCTTCGTTCTTTTCGTAGACGGCAAGCGAGAAATTTTGAAAGTGTTTCTGCATTTTGTAGGCCACAAGAAGACCCGAGGCTCCGGCACCAACGCAGATGACTCGGATGTGCTTTTCGGAGTGGATGGGCCCGTCGAGCCTCCTTGAGGCATCACGATCACCGGCGTGCATGGTCTTTGGCAACAGTAGGTCGGCCATTGTAGATATAAAACGTGATCGAGGAACGGGCGCGAGTGTCGAATGCAGATGCACTTGGGTATAATGGAGTTGACCGTCGAATGGCAGGACGGCCCTTGACTGTCAAAAAACAGATAATGGAGAGAAGGCGGAACACGAAACCGCGACACAAGAAGATCTTCAGGATAGAGGGTATTATAACAGCACACAGGAGGGCATGAAACAGGTCAGTCGAGCGTAGGTGGCATGCCCAGCAGCTGGCGTCATGACATGCACATTGTGGCCCTGGCCCCTGTCAGTTGGCTCTCTCAAGCTGCGTGGCCGGCTATCGAATATCGAGGTGCGGCACACCAACCTCCCTGTGGGAGCGCTGTGCGACAGACAGCCGATGATTGTCGGTCCGTGGTGTGGTATGACCGGGGTTTAGGGGCGGTAGTTTCTTGCATCTAGGGAAGCAAGCTCAGAGAGAAACACGGGAGTGGACAGCGTTTGTGGATCGGCCGAGTCATAGTGGATGTATCGCAGAAGGAAGTCTGGAGGTTCCATGACTCGTCTTTACTCGCCCGTCTGTGATCGCAGACGACAGACTCAGTCATGTTTGTTGCACGGTGGACCAGGTAGGGGTGGGCTCAACAGGGATCCCAGTCGACAGCCTTGGGGAAATCCGCCTGTCTTGCTTGCCATGTTCACAGCTTGCGGCGGGCCACTCCATCCCACGAGACCGGTAGCCCGGCTGAACGGGCCAGGTTCGCTTCCCTAGCTTTGTAGCCTGTGTTGGTGCAGGGCCAAGGGCTGGCCAGCCGTTTCTCCAAGCGACATGGCGTGACGGCTGCTTGCTGTCCTCGTTGAAAAACGTCCGAGGGGTTGTCCGAGGGGTCAAGGTACCGAGCCTGGAGTGGAGCTAAATCATTGAGAGGGGTGTCTCTTCGCCAGTCTGGGGTTATTTGCGGGGAGGAGGAGATGGTGCCTTGGCGGGCGGTGTTGAGACGAAGACGGTCGGAAGCTTGATCGTGACCACCCTTTGGTTTGTTGATTCTGGCTCGGGAAACCTCAACCGCGGGGCGTTTCTAGAGTTGGTGGGGCTCGGAACTGTTTGCCCTTGCCAGGTGACGCTGAGGTAATCAGCCGCCAGCAGCTGGCCACAGAGCCATTTCTCAGCCTACTCATCCCCTTTTATCAACCTCGTCTCGAGGTGCCTACCTTGCCTACCTACCTAGGTACCTCAAATATGTAGGTAGTCTGGAAGCCAATAAGCATCTTTCGATACAAATATGAGGTCTCGAGAGTGGGTCGAGGGTGATTCACGTCTACGTGTCAACTTCGAGCAATTGAAATCAATAACAGAAGTGATTGTAGGCAACACATTTTGCATCCCGCCCAGAATCTTGCCACCATGCACCTCAAGCCAACTGCATATACAACCATATGTCACATCGCATGTAGCTACAGCCTCGCCCTCTCTTGTTGGCTGGCGGCTTCAATCGCCGTCGCATCCCTCTTGGCCCACTCGCGCATTGTCTTCCGCTGGATCTTTCCGCTCGCCAGCTTGGGCACCTCCTCTACGAACACGACCCCACCAGTCAATCGCTTGTGCTTGGCCACGCGCGTCTTGATCCATTCCGCAACGTCCGCCGGCGTGACCCTGCCCTTGGAGTCCTCCTGAATGGCGACGTAGGCTCTTGGCTTCTCCTCCCCGTTGCTGGGTTCGTCAGTTCAGAGTTCATGGCCACTTGTACCTCATTCTTGGGGGATACCTACACCGTGATGCCTACCGCCGCCGCGTCTGCAATATGCTCGTTCTCGAGAAGAACGGCCTCCAGTTCAGCCGGCGCTACTTGCAGCGCATTGACCTTGATGAGTTCCTGTTTTCGTTAGCTTCATTGTTTGGAAGAAGTTGCTTTTGACAGAAGAGTCTGGCAGGAAGATGAGAATGAAAAAAAGGACAGTAGCATACCTTCTTTCGGTCGACAATCCAGAAGAACCCTTTCTTGTCGCAGACGGCAATGTCCCCCGTCTTCAGCCAGCCCTCGCTGTCGATACACTCCTTCGTCGCAGCTTCGTTCCGCCAGTAGCCTAGACAGACGTTGGGCCCTCGAACGACCATCTCCCCGGGCTGCCCGACACCGACCTCGCGCCCCTCATCGTCGACGAGCCGCATCTCGCAGTTGGGGTCGAGTTGGCCGACGCTCCCCGTGTCGTCACGGATACCGCCCGGCACGTGCAGCGCCCCGCAGGTCACCTCGGTCATGCCCCAGCCCTGGTTGATCTGGACGCCAAAGCGGCGCTGGCACTCGTTCTGCAGCTCGCGCGACAGCGGCGCCGCGCCGCAGAGCACGTCGCGGACGCTGCTGAGGTCGTAGCGCGCCGTCTCGCGGCGCTTCGACAGCATGACGAGGATGGGCGGCGCCACCTGCAGGCTCGTGATGCGGTAGCGGCCAATGGCGGCGAGGAAGTCCTCGTAGCGGAACTCGCGCATCACGTAGACGGGCACGCGCAGCCGGATGGCCATGAGGATGGTGTAGAGCTGGCCGTAGGCGTGGTAGAGGGGGAGGAAGCCGATCCAGCGCTCGGCGGGGCGCGAGACAAAGGGGTACGGCTTATGAGCGTAGCGCATGACGATTGTCTGCTCGACGTTGGCGATGAGGTTACGGTGGGAGACGCAGACGCCCTTTGGGAGGCCGGTCGTACCGGAGCTGTAGTTGATCGTGGCGACGGTCGTTTCAGATTCGGACGGGGTGAGATCGGGCCAGCGGTACGTCTTGACTTCGGAGGGGGTGCCGAGGAGGGCACGCCAGTCGGGAATGCCATGGCGGGTGGCCGCATCTGTGTCGGAAAACTGGAAAATGCGGTTCTTGGGCACATTGGCCTTTTCGGCGGCTGCGAGGACGTGATCGAGGTGGTCTGGGTGGGCAAGAATGACTTTGGCTGTCGTGTTATTGAGCTGGTGGACGAGCTCAGGGATCGTATAAGCCGGGTTGGCGCCACTGAAGATGCAGCCGGCACCGACGATTCCTAGGTAGGCGACGGGAACGAAGATTTGGTTGGGAGTGCAAATCAGGACCACGTCGCCGCGCTTGACGCCGATCCTCTCAAGTCCAAACGACAGCCGCTTAACCCATTCGACGAGCTCTTTGGGAGACAGGTTGATCCTGTCATCCTTGCAGTCGAGCCACAGCGGGTCTTCTTGTGGGAGTTGGTCTTCGGGAAAGAGATATGTGAGGAGGTTTGTCTTGGGTATGTCAAGTGACGGAAAGGGTGATGTGAAAACCATGGCTGCTGTGTTGCGATGAGACAGGCGGCTTCCGCTTTCGAGAGTTCTGACGAGTGCTGAGACGTGTAATGAAAGATGGCCACAATGCTAAGGCGAATATGCGAACGTGTTTAAACGTCCAAAAGGCAAACATGTTGAATCGAGATCACGATGTGATAAAGTGGCCTCGCGGCAACAAATCCCAGCTCCTTCTCAAAAATGACCGTATCAACCCTCGGCAGGAGCTGCCGGGGGTCTTGCGGGGTAACTGCTGGTCGTAGTGGATCCCATGAAGTGGGGAGCTACCCCGATATTTCCCCAGTTTCCGGCCGGCCGGTGTCCGTTGCCCGCAGTTGTTGCTGATGCTGTCTTTTTTTGCCGAGGTGCGCGTCGAGGTACCCATAGAGATAAGGTAGGTGCCCCCTTGGCACCTTCGGTACTGAGCCAGGTGCTGTGCCTGGTCGTGTCTGCTCAACCATTCGACACCCAGCACTCTGCGCCTCGCTATTCGGTCACCCCTCCATTGTGACACCTCGCAGAAGTCATCATGTCCGATCTCAAGAACTTCAGCAGCGCATTTTCTCTCGAGGGCCGAACGGCTGTCGTCACCGGCGGCTCCCGCGGCCTTGGCCTGCACATGGCCACCGCCTTCCTTCTTGCTGGCTGCTCCCACGTCATCATCACCGCCCGCAAGCTCGAAGGAGAGCAGGGCATCACGCAAGCAGTCGAGAAGCTGAACAAGCTGCCCAAAATCCGCGGAAAGGCCATCGGGCTTGCGGCGAACGTGGCCGACACCAAGGACATTGAGCGCCTTGTGGGCGAGGTCAAGGGCATTGTTGGGAGCAAAGGCCTGAACATTTTGGTGTGCAATGCCGGCGCGGCCTGGGGTTCGAGGTTCGAGGATGCGCCGCCGAGCAGTTCCGTCAAGATCTTGGATCTCAATGTGAGAGGCGTCTTTGAGCTAGCGCAAAAGTAAGCTATTTTCGCCTGCAAAGTCACAGACTGTGCTGATCAGTGTCCGCAGATTCCTTCCCTTGCTGCAGCAGGCTGCTTCGAGGGAAGACCCGGCACGCGTGCTCACCATAAGCTCAACAGCTGGGAGCAACGTGCCACATGTCGGCGAGCATGGTACCATCATGTATTCCGTCTCGAAGGCGGCAGCCAACGTAAGCAGTCTGTATGCCGAACGCTCTGCTGAACAGGGGGAGACTGACAAGTTAGCACTTGGGTCGCAATTTGGCCGTCGAGCTGGGACGACGCAACATCACCTCAAATATCATTGCGCCCGGCTTCTTCCCGTCAAAGCTCGCGTCAGGTCTCATCAGCAATCTCGGTGGCATCGACGAATTGAGCAAGGATAACCCATTGGGAAGACTGGGCGAGGCCGATGACATTGCCGGTGTTGCTGTGTTTCTCTGCTCTCCAGCTGGCAAATATGTGTAAGTACTCTACGGAATTTCGACCCATGTGCAACTTGCTGACATCATTCAGAAACGGCGTCGAGGTGGCGGTGGATGGAGGTGCCAGATTGTCGGCAGGGAGAATGTCCCGTCTTTAAATCCAGATATGGTGACTGCAGCTCTGCCAAAGCTGTATCAGCCGGAATGGTCTGTCCTGCGTGAACACACAGTTTCAGGGACCATATTCAGTCATCTGCAGAACGGGCCGAGTACCATGTACGAAATACACCATTCATCCAACATTCTCACCGTGATACGCAATCTTCAGGTACCTGCATGCATGCATTGTGGCTGAAAGAATATTGATTAGAAAATACATCAAGTTAGCTCCTCTGAAATCCATTCATTCAAATGTGATGCCTTGTCGCTTTGCCACCTTGCCCTCCTCCATATCCTGCACCATCGCAGGCAACTCCTCGAGCCCCTTTCTGATCTCCACTACCGGCATGATGCCATGCTCCTCGGTGAACTTGACAGCCTTGCCCATCCTCTGTGGAGTAGAGGTGCTGTCAGCCTTGATCTGGTAGTTCCCCAGCAGCAGATCCATGACCTTGACCTGCAGCGGCTCCTTCGACACTCCGATGATCATCAGTGTGCCCCCGAGCGCCAGGCACGACGGCGCAGACGCAAACGCCGGCGCCGCATTCGTGTACACGGCCACAGCACGAACACCTCCCCCCGTCAGCGTCTTGACGTCCTGCGCCCAGTCTACGTTTGACCGCGAATTGAAAACGGCCTCGGCGCCCTGCCTCTTCGTCTCCTCGAGGTTCGCATCGGCAACGTCGATACCCACAACACGCAGCCCCATGGCCTGGGCGTACTGCGTCGCCAGCTGCCCGAGGCCGCCGCACCCGACCACGCCGAACCAGTCGCCCGGCTTCAGGGCGCAGCTGTCGACGGAGTGAAACGCCGTGATGCCGGCGCAGAAGACGGCGCTCGCGGCGTCCATGTCCCACTTGGCCTCGTCCAGCACGACGGCGTTGCGCCGGTCGACGAGGGCGTACTCGGCGAAGAAGCCGTCGGCGACGAACCCCTGCAGGAGCTGCTTGCCCGTCTTGCAGTGGAGGTTGTGCACCTGGCAGCCGGCGCATGTGAAGCAGCAGCCGCGGATGTAGAGGAAGCCGACGGCGTCGCCGAGGGCGAACCCCTGGTTCTCGGCGGACGCGTGGAACTGCACTATGTGGCCGACGCCCTCGTGGCCAAGCGTCACGGTGTCATGGGCGTCGCGGACGGCGAGGAGGTCGCTGTGGCAGAGAGAGGCCGAGCGGATCTTGACGAGGAATTCGTCGGGGCCGGGTTCGGGAACGGGAATCTCATTGATGACGACCTTCTTTTGGTGCTGGGTTACGTTAGTGGATGGGAACCGACGTGGAATGTGAGTGGCGTACAGGGTCCCATTGACCGGCCTTCATGGTTTTGGGAATAGATGACATGGCTGTAAGATGCAAGTGTGCTAGCTGACGTGCCTGCGTGTGTGATCCAACGGTCCGAGTCAATCGAGAAGCACAAGATCAAGGTTAGTTTAACCTTCACGAGGAATTGGATTTGGACTCATGATATCGGGCAGATATCAAAACCCTCGGCAATCACTTCTATCCTCACGTTTACATGGATAGGCATCAAGAGGACCACAAGGCCGCCGGAAGCTCTCATCCAAAGATTTGGTAGGATGTTTGCTTTGCCAGTCCGTACGTACCTACTCCTATACCCCAGACATGGACCTGTGACATCTCACCCCCCATAACAAAGGGTAACCAGCACTCGCTAGAACTTACCCAACCAATCCGGAAGCTTTTGAGAGGCATCAAGTGGGTGGTGGCGTCTCGCCGGCTCTCTACTCCCTCTCGAGCTTGGGTCCGGCAAGACCCCGCCATTCATCATCAATACCCATTTTACCAAGTAGTTAGTTGGTCATTCAGTAGAACAACCTGCAGCGGGGTCGTTGGCTGTGTGGGCGACATTGTTAGTGTTGTCCAGGGGCTGTACTCGTGGCATTGCGGGGGAGGGGTCGGGCGAGTCATCGCCCCCAACTTTCTCCAAGCCCCTGACTCGGGTGGAAATCAATAACCTCCGCCCTTGGCATGCATCCTGCCCTCGGAAATCAAGCAGGTGGCCCGTTTCGAAGAGAGGGGATCGCTTGGGTTGGTATATCTTAGCAGCTTGGAGCAGATCAAGTCATGGTCGTCAAAAGACCACTCCGGAGTTAGCGAAACCTACTGCTTGGACTTCGCCGACGCCATCAGTTAATTAATAGCCTGCATCTGTTCTGCAAGCTTCCAATACCGAGCCGTCCGTCGTGTTCATTTGAATCCTTCTTCTCATATTTTTACCTAGCAAGCTATTCGCATACAGCCGGCAGTAACCACATCATGACTTCACTAGGACCTGGTCTGAAAGAGGCTTCTAAAAACCTCCCATCCTCCTTCGAATGGAGCAAAGGGAACCTTCCCAAAAAGCTCTTCATCAACAACGAGGTACATGACATCCTATCTCTTTGATCCTATCTCTTTGAAGGCGATTTCTGACACCTCAAAGTATGTCGAGTCCAAGAACAGCAAGAAGCTGTCACTGCACAACCCTATAGACGGTTCCGCAGTCGCCGATGATGTCGCTCTCGCTGGCGAGGCAGACGTCGACGCGGCAGTGGCAGCTGCCGAAGCCGCGTTCCCAATCTGGAAGAAGACACCTCCTAACACACGCCGAGACATCATGAACAAGTTCGCAGACCTCCTCAACCAGAACGGGCTTGCCCTGGCTGAGCTGACGCGCCTGACCCTCGGAGCACCCTTCGGGTCTTTTGGCTCTTTTGAAATCAATCTCGCATGCGAAGGTTTCCGCTACTTTGCTGGCTGGACAGACAAGTTCCCTGGTGAGACGTATCCCCAGGAAGACGGCTTCATGAAGATTGTACGCAACGAGCCGCTCGGCGTCACCTGCGGCATCATCCCCTGGAACGGCCCCTTGGGTAACGTCGGCATGAAGGCGGGCCCGGCCCTGGCGACAGGCAACTGCTTCATCCTCAAGCCTTCCGAGAAGACCCCATTCGCCGCTCTAGCCCTGGGGACCCTCATCAAAGAAGCTGGCTTTCCACCTGGCGTCTTCCAAGTCATTTCTGGCGACGGCAGTACGGGCGCCCTCCTAGCGAGCCACATGCGCGTGCGCAAGGTCAGCTTTACGGGATCTACCTCGACAGGCCGCAAGATCCAGGAGATGGCTGCCAAGAGCAATCTCAAACGCGTGACGCTCGAGCTCGGCGGTAAGAGCCCTGCCGTGGTTTTCGACGACTGCAACCTCGACAACGCCGTGTCGTGGTGCGCAAACGCCATCACGGCCAATACAGGTCAGGTCTGCTTTGCGGCAAGCCGAGTGTACGTACAGGCGGGCATCTACGATAAGTTCACCGCGGCGTACAAGGCGGCCATGGAGGAGAAGGCTCGCGGCGTCGGAGATCCCAACGATGAGGGAACTATCATCGGCCCACTGGTTGATCAGGCACAGTTTGACCGTGTTCGAGGCTTCATCGAGCGCGGGCAGCAGGGCCAGGGGACGCTGCTCGTCGGAGGCGGCCGTGTTGGTGAGAAGGGCTACTACGTACAGCCGACCGTGTTCGAGAATGTTGCACAAGACGCCGAGCTCTGTCGCGAGGAGATCTTTGGGCCTGTCGCTATACTCAACCGTTTTGAGACGGAAGAAGAGATTGTGGCCAAGGCAAACGATACCAACTTTGGTCTGATGGCCGGTGTCTTCACGCAGGACATCAACAAGGCGATGCGCGTGGCGTCTGATATTGACAGCGGCATGGTCGGCATCAATTGTGTCAGTCTTTGCTTCCTGACGGCGCCTTTCGGTGGCAGCAAGGAGAGCGGCTCTGGTCGGGAGAACGCGATCAACGCACTTCGCATGTTCACGGAGCCCAAGACCGTTATGGTGAACTTGACGTACTAGCTAGCTACATGTCTGTATTGCGGAATTTATCGGTATTCAATCAATTCAAGGCTAAAGCTAGCCGCCACGGAAAAGTGACGTGAATAGTGAGGATGAAGGCGAAGCCACCATCACTGAAGACGAGGAAACACATGTGTTTGATAACCCATGCCTGTCCGAGAACTTCTCTTCATTTGAAAAGATCATCTCCATCTGAGTCAGGACCATCAATCTGTTCAAAATCAGAGTCATCAATGTGAACCGTTTCCCCTTGTAACAGCTGCTGGTACTCATCGCTCATTTTCGCCTCTTTTCTGGATTCAAGCAAGGTCTTGATTTCCCCGAGCTCATCTTCAATAAAACAATCATTCTCCTCCTCCAACCTGTGCACAACTGATTTGAGCGGCGTCTGTCCGTTGCTGTTCGATACTGTGACATCGGCACCTAGATCCAACAAGAACTTGACACACTCCACATATCCTCTGGCCGGATAGTGATGAAGGAGCGTCGACCCCTGATTATTGAGAGCGTTGATGTCGGCGTCCCAATGTATCGAGCCCAAAGCCATGCCACGCCGTCGTGGGTAATCCAAAAGCGCCGTTTCGAGCACGATCTTCAACATGTCGTGCTTCGCAGCAGGACTTTTCGCCTTTGAAAGTAGATAGTCCAAGTAGCCGAATTTGCTGCGCTGAATAGCGTACCATATCGGCAGTGCGATGACGCTGTCCGTAGGGGGGTGAGGATTTGCACCACTCTTCAACAGTAAACGTCGCATGCAAGATGTTCCAGCCAAACAGAGCGCTGTGCGGCCGTGCCCGTCGCAGCTTTCGATGTTGACATGCGGCTGAGTGACTAGAAGACGCACGACTCCTACCAGCTGCGATCGCGTTGCCAGCAAAAGAGCAAAGTCATATGTAGGTACCTTAGGTTAGATGGTAGCTCATCTTGGAATGCGGAATTTGGCCAGCCTTTGCCTCTGCATTTCAGAAGTTTGACGATGAGATCCAAGTCGTCCTCGCCAGAGTTTCCTTCCAGGTGCTGTGTCGTGTTGGTGATTGCATAGCGATGAAAAGCCATGTGAGGGTGTCTTTCTATCCAGTCATCGACCTCTTGAATTGTATCTCCCACTCTGTAGCCAGGCATTCTTTGGACAGTTTGGTGAACTAAATCTTTCGAGACATGACATCCGTTGACCTCAAAGCTAGGGAGTTGTGGATCGTTGTTGTATAGCCAGTTATACCGAAGACAAATGCGTGCCATGAAGCTATTGGAAAACTTGGGACTGAACGAATGCTGCCACTGCGTGGGAAGGTCGGCCGTCGGCATTTCGGTGTCCGAAGACTGGAAGAACTCCCGTACCGTCTGGTGTAAGAAATACACGCGGTCGTTGTGTGTGATGATGAAAAGTCCGGTTATCTGCCTCAAGCTTCTCTTGAACGTTTGTTCGTCCTCCATGTCCAAATTGTTGAGGTTATTGACGCCTTCGTCCAGGTTCATTGCAACATTCATTTCCGCTATCGTCAAAGGAACTGCTGCTCCCAAGACAATGGTGAAAGCCTTTCGTATGAGTGGCTGTAAGGTTTCATCAGTCCGACTTAGGATCTTTGAGTAGGCGTCATTGATGCTGCGCGGTAGATTCTCAATCGCATCTTCCAAGCCCTTGATAGTCTTTTTGAAGTGACTAGTCTCAACAAATCTGAACGTCAATGCTGCCCAAAGATATGTTGGGTTCTCGACACTCAGAAGCCTCTCCTCAAGTCGCGAGAGCAGTCTTTGGGGAATGATTCTCTGAAGTTTGGGATCGCGGACCCTGTGCTGGATCACAATCTTGACTTCTTGCCGAATGGTGGTCGACTTCTCCTCGCCATACATGCGGATACAAGATGCCACAATCATGTTTGTGATGCTTTGGTATGGGCGAGTGGTGAAGAGCCATCGCGTCGTGGCATGAGAATGTTTCTCAACGGCGAGTAGGTGGTTGACGCTCCTGGCCAGGACTTGAAAGTCTGCCTGTCGGCATTCGTCCAGTCCGTCCAGAACAATAATGACTGGACCTGTATCCGAGTCTCTGAGGCTAGCCTCCAAGATCCTCCAGAGTATAGTCGTGTTGTTTTGAAGGCTATTGCCATTCTTCGCATGCTCGTGCGTCAAGTGCCTCTTTATCAAACTGGGCTTCCGACTCAGAAGCTGATGCAGCAGAGCACACAGTGCCAGGCAGAGCCTGTCCTGATCGTCCTCCTTGAAGAAGAAGTAGCATATTGTTGCGTCATTGGCGTCTTCGAGAAGTCGTTCGTCGATGAGGTGTTTAGCTAGAACAGACTTGCCGCAGCCGGGGTCTGCTGAAACCATCAGTAGCCCATGAGCCTTCCGCAGCCAGTCCTGATATTTCTCCTCCTCAAGAAGCCACTTGCATGTTCCTGGAACTCTGTCCTCGGTGCGTTCTTTTGCGCTTTCGTATGACAGATCTTGAGAAGCGTTCTGGGGCCGCAAGACCTGGAGGTGCTCCTGTTCTTCCAGGGACAGTGCTCGTGACTCAAGGCGCTGTCAAGTTGCGGCCATTTCACGCGTGGATTTTGTATGATTTTGGAACTCCGTAGAAATTTCCAGCATTATAGAGTTCGTGACTTCGAGGTTCGCGACAGTCTCTTCTTTCAATTGACGTAGATAATCCTCGCTGGCTGTGCGCTGGAGGGGCCGCCATCGCTCTGCGAACAGCTTTTCGGCGTCCTTCACGCTCTGCAGCATGGTCTCCCAGCCGTCATAGTCGACAGCATCTCTGAGCTTGTTCTTCAGCTTGCGCCGATTGAATCGTAAGGCTGACCGGAGCTGAAAGGAGAGTATGGCTTTGTAGAGCGCTATGATGCTCTCTTCGGCAGCTTCGATGAGTTCTTGTGAGCATGAGCCGTGGCTTTTCTGAAGCTCTGGCTCAAGAGCAAGATAGTACTTCAGAGTTCCAGTGACGTAGATGAAACCGCTGTAGTTCATGTCTTTGGCCTTCTGGACATTTTCCAGCAGGGGGAGGACCAGTATGGTGGCAGCCCAAACAATGGAGACTTCGAAAGACGCCGTCTTGCCCAGCGCTGTGGACACCAGGTCTTTACCCCAGGCTATCATGCGAAAACCCTTGTCGAACATTTCACCGACTTTGTGATCCTTGTTCCTAAGTTTGAACCTAATCTCTGCATCTTCCATCCGTTGCTTGCCGTCTTGGCACAGCTTCTGGACATCGTGGTATGTCGGATCTTGGTCTTGAGCCAGATCTCCTGGCAATTCTTGTGGCTGATCTTGTCGCCGAGCTTCTTGAGCTACGAGTGTCTGAAAGTTCAACACGAGGTCCCTTTCTTCCTCCCGAAGCTTGTCGTATGCTTGCTTCCAAAGAGGGCGCGAGTCGTGAGGAGTATCAGGCCCATTCTGTGTGGTCAGATCAGTTGGTAGAGCTGATGGGTCGATATTCTCGTGATCCTCCTCGAGTGCTGGATTTTCCCTATTCTTTGATATGAATGGTCTTTCAACGATTGTTTCGGCTGTCGTGGTTCTCCCGGGAGTAATCCAGGGCCCCGTGGTCTTTGAGTTTGACGACGGCGTCTTGTTTAGCTTGGACGCCGAAGCTAGGCGCTCTCGCAGTTTACCCACTAGCCCCATGGTCGATATCAGCGCCAGGGCCGCTTCATATGGCCTACAGCAGAAGACAAGACCGCATGTTTGTGTACCTTAGCCTGAGATGTTCAATCGACAATTTACAAGAACATGCCAGAAGCGGGGTCACTTCAGCTCCTTCAGCTTGTTCTTCATGAAGGCCAGGCTGAGGCGACATACCCCCGCGTCTGGACGAATGAGGAATGCTTCTTCCCCCACGCATTCGCGCCAATAGGACAAAGTGTAAGAAATGCTGTACCGGCATGACATCGCCTCAATCCTTGGCAGCCTCGAAATCTCGAGCCTTGAAGTGTAAATACTAGGAATCAGTTCGTGATTTCGGATGCTGAGTCTCAATTCCTTACTGATAGTCAGCCCAAGGCTTGCCTTTGGTTTCGAGAGCCAAATCTTTCATCGACTTCCACCTTTCAAAGCCCCCATCCCCTTCCATAATCGAATTATCGTTCCCAAGACCACCGGCAGTGTGGTTGATAAGACCCTCCCCCATCAAGAACCGTAGGTACTTCTCAGGCATCGGCTCCGGGTTGGCTAAAAGATTGGCCTTGTAGGGGTGCAAATCAAGGGTCGTAACCTCGATCGGCTTCTGGTCCTCGCTCGCCTGCTCCATAATCCTGGCGATCTCTGCGACTGATTTGGTGCTGCCAGCGAGGTGCACCTTTTCAGGAACTTCACCGGGAGGCAACACCGCCAGAGCAGCGAGGGCGCGTCCCACGTCGTGCATGCTTGTGTAGGACGTCGGCTCGTCCGGGCTGCCCACAGCCTCGTACTTATTCAGCTTTGTGTGGAAGCCAAACCAAGGCCCAACCGAGTCCTCCAGAAAGAGGCCGGGGAAGACGCGGCAAACGCGTATCTCAGGGATCAGCTCCTCGGCCAGGCGTATGTGATTTTTCTTGGCATCCCACTCGTCGTGCGCAAAGTCGTGCACGTAGTGATCAACCCCAAACTCGGATGGGAAGTAGAGCTTCACGGAGGATTGCGGCAGGGCGCGGAGCAGCTGCTCTTTGAAATGGTGGCCTGTCGCACCGACTCTGGCGCCCAATCAGTACCTACAAGAATGTTTGACTGCGCGGTGGGGCTCACGTGTTGATCAAGACATTGACTCCTTCAAGGGCAGACTTGAGGTTACCCTCGGAGTACAGCCTAATTGTTGCTCCTTTTGATTCAAGGCTGGCGGTTTTCTCTGACTCGTTGCGAGCCAAGACGACCAGCTCGCGGAAGCGCGGGCGCAGTTGGTCTGACAACAGCGCCTGGACAATCTTGTAGCCAAGGTTTCCGGTGCCACCAGCGATGGCTACAGTGATAGAGCCCATGTTCGTTCGAGGTTCACAGTTGCATTCGTGCTCCAGAAGGTTGGATGACCACACCGGAATGTGTAGGAGTCTAGAGAGATGCGGGGTTGGGTTGAGAGGGCGATTGTTAGCATAAGCTCAGTCGTCTGACGCAGCTCCAATGGGACAGAGTTCACCCTCTACCGCATGCAGCGAGGTACCCCGCTGGGTGACGCAGAGTTGGTGTGCCATGCGGCTTTCTTGATGTTTTGATCCAGCAATGCCCAAAATGGTCTCCTCGTGTTGGAGAATTGAGGGTGTGTCCACAATGAAAGTCGATGAAGTACAAAGTACCCATCTTCTTCCCTCTCTGCTTCGACAGTGACATGGGGCCCAGCCTGTGAACGGTAAGGTAGAGTAGTAGGCATTTGACCCACGGCCCAGGTGCAAACTTGACAGCCATCGACGTCAGACTGCCTTACTTTATTTTGAGTTGGACGTGAAATGTCGGCAGTCGTTCAAGAGATGCCCCGTCCATTTGTCCGAACAATCGATGCCATTGGCGAGAAGACGAGCAATCCAGATCCTCCATCTCTGGACCGCATGACGTGCTCGGTGCTGACATCACGCAATGCCTAGATCGGCCAAGGAATTGGCGCCAAGGTGGGGCGTGAGCTTGTCTGTACTTGGCTCCTGATGGTCCCTATTCCATGCTGGGTCTAGGCCAGACCTCTTCGCTTTCAGGGGGTGCTCGAAATGGCCGAGCCTTGACAGTTGAGGAGCCTCGTGTTGGAGATTCGTTGCTGTCAACAAGCTTCATGGAAGGAAGGGCACTTGGGGTAAACTGACACGCTGGCGAGTGCTTCGTTGTGCGCGCTGTTTGCTTGCAAGTGAGACATGTGAACAGAAGCGACGGCATCTGTTGGCGGACATCCCTTGACCACGCGGATTAAGCATAAATTTTGCCTCGCTCTCTGGCGCAACCGTTGGAATGAACGACAGGGTGCAGGAGGATGTTTCCTCTTCAGCGCCCCACCCAAGCTTCTTACCAGTCGAACCGCTTCCAGTCAAGATCGCTGCAGACGTCCCCTTCGAATGAGCAACGGTTGGGGTGACGTTGCACGGGATCCTCTTCCACGGAGACCTTAAAACCAACCTGGGCCCAGGAGCCTGATTCGCAATCTGGAAAAGCTCTTGTTGCAGATTTCGTTTCTTTACCTGCCCCCTCAAGGTACCTGATCTTCCCAGTGCGATACTGTCCGCTACTATTAGACGACCGACTTCCATCATGGAGACGAAATTGAAGACCACGACCGACTCAGACCCGGAGCGGGACAGCACAAACGCACCAAAGCAGTCCTCATGGCTGGCGTCCGCGTTCGGCGGCCCAAACGTTGTCATTGGGCCTCGTATTGAGCCGGTTGCTGCCCACCTGCTGCCGAATCACCAAGAGGGCGACAGTGATGTCGGTTCCGCTGCCGAGATTATGGGCAAGCAAGTCGACGCAGAGCAAGGCAATGGCATCAAGTACAGGACTTGTTCGTGGCAAAAGACGGCTGGTCTTCTCTTTTCCGAGTACATCGTTCTCTCCATCATGAGCTTTCCCTGGTCCTACAGCCTCCTCGGTTTGGTCCCCGGCCTCATCCTGACGGCCGTCGTCGCGAGTCTCGTGCTCTACACGAGTCTGGTGCTGTGGGAGTTTTGCCTGAGACACCCCGAGGTGCGCGACGTCTGCGACGTCGGACAAATGATCTTTTGGAACAAGAAGTGGGCTTGGTGGTGGACTGCCATCATGTTCGCTCTCAACAACACCTTCATCCAGGCCCTGCACGTGCTCGTCGGCGGCATCTATCTCAACACCATGACCGAGGCCGACACCATCCACGCTTGCCGCACAGTTGCGTTCGCCGTCGCTGTCACGGTCATCAGCTGGCTCGGCTCCCTGCCTCGCACCTTCAACATGCTCTCCACTCTTGGATTCGCTTCTGCATTCTTCACCTTCATCTCCGTCATCCTGGCGACGGCTTTTGCTGGGGCCCAGGGCAAACCTGCAGGCTATCCCGAGTTGGGCGAGCCGATTGTCTCGGCTTGGACGCCTTCCACGACGACTCTCGTCACCGGCATGTCGGCCTTCATGAACATGAGCTACACTTTCATCGGGCAGACGACCCTGCCCAGTTTTATCGCTGAGATGCGTGACCCTCGGTATGTCGACCTGAGGCACAAGTCAATTGAACCCTTTCTAACTCATATTCTAGCGATTTCCCCAAGGCCCTTTGGGCCTGCACTTGTGCTGAAATTGTCACCTTTAGCATCGTTGGCTCCGTCATTTATGCCTACACCGGCAACCAGTACATGGTAGCGCCGGCCTTTGGCGTGCTGGAGAGCGTGTACAAAAAGGTGTCATACTCGTTCATGATTCCAACCATCATTTTCGTCGGCTGCCTCTACGCCTCCGTCACCGGACGCTTCATCTTCTTCCGCATGTTCCACCAGTCGAAACATCTCACCGAGCACACCTTCAAGGGCTGGTTCTACTGGGGGCTGGTCCTTCTCGGAAGCTGGGTGCTCTCCTTTATCATCGCGGAGGTCATCCCCTTCTTCTCCTCACGTAAGTCAATCGTCCCCATTGTCGTCCTTCAGAGGTTCTGACTGGTCCAAGTGCTCTCCGTCATGTCGTCACTCTTCAATTGCTGGTTCGGCTTCATCTTCTGGGGCCTGGCCTACTTCCGCATGCGAAACGCTGATATCAAGCATGGCGTGCCGCGGCGGAAGATCCTGGACAAGCTTTCTGTGGCGCTCAACGTTGTCATCATCTTGACTGGCTTCTTGTATCTCACTTTGGGCACTTATGTCAGTGTTCAAGGCATCATTGATCAATTTGAGGCTGGGACAGTAGGAGGTGTGTTCAGCTGCAAGAGCAACGGTCTTTAGCTGGTACTAGATGCACTTTGAAGAGCACGACTCCTCTGCATGGAGAGTGATGGCTTGAGCTTCTCTAATGAATTCATGACCTAATCACAATAGTTCTCCTCCGCCAGTTTTGGCGTGAGTTTTACACGCGGACAACAGCATTTGACGACCTCTTGACCATGATCGACAACACTGGTAAAAAGAAGACATCGCAGCCATGTTCCACTCAAACATAAGCCCTCAAAGAATTGCGTCGCCTATTTTGCCCCTTTTCAGTCACCCTGACCAGCATAAAAGTGAAACCGAGAGCTGGCGTTCAGAAAGGCTATGACTCCTCGAGTTAAGAATCAGTTTGTTGTGAATCACTTTACGAACATGTGCTTGAGCCCAGTAATGGTTTCTCTGAAGCCGGGAACCTCCTTTGGATTGATATCCAAGTCTGAGGGGCCCAGAAACAGACCATCCTTCTCCTCCCAGGGATCGCACATCTCCCCAAACTTGAATTGCAAAGCTAGTTCCTTGCCCGTAGTACCCCAAAGCGTCTCCCAGGACTCGGCGGAGCACGGCACGTAGACAGCACGCTTCCCGGTGATCTCGCCCCAGACTTCGTTCATTTGTTGGAATGTCCACTTCTCCAAAGCGACGTTGGTGTACTTTCCAAACGTCGCGGCACCCTTGGCCAGAACCTGTCTTGTCCAAAGGCCGGGCGTGACGGTCATGTCACCTGACAGTAGGACCTTCGCATCCGGGCGCGACGGGATGATCTGGACGTAGGTACCAGATCCAGGAGGCTACATATAGTCAGCAACCTCTTGCTCACAGCTGTTGCATCTCATTCAAAGACAGCAACACAAGATCGTGACTCACAAATTCAGTGGGCTTGAGCATGGGATACCAGACAAGGTTCTGTGGATAATAACCAAAGTAGAGGTAAGTGGTTTTCGCCGCAAGGTCAGGAAGCTCCTTTTGAATTCGCTCGTCGACATTGGCCTTGTAATCCATATGTGGCGTCACCAGTTCGCCCTTGAAAACGCGCTTTGCGCTGGGCGTGGTGGACCACAGATAGTGCTCAAGAGAGGGCGTTTTGGCAGCAGCCCTGGCTATTGTCATGCCCTGTTCTTCTTCCAGTATTCCGGCCTCATCCTGCGTCTTGCCACTGAATAGATGCTCCCACCAGTTTGTGACTGCATAGATCGCGGAAACGCCCTCGAACGCCTTGGCGAGAGACTCTTCGTCATCGAAGCTCGCTTGAACGACCTCGATACCCTCGCTGGCAAGCTTCTTTGCTGCGTCACTTTTGGGGTTTCGTGTGATGGCACGGATTTTCCAGTTGGACGTGTTTTTCATGACGTTGATCACGCCTCCGCCTTGGATGCCAGTGGCGCCGGTCACGGCAAGGATCTTGGTTGACATGATGAATGTTGCGATGCTTGGGATCTGGTTTGTCAGGATGAGGAACCTGAAATGTATTGAAAATGGAGTCCAACTGGCATTTATGCAAGGCGATATTCTGGAAATATGGAAGGATTCGCTGGATAAAACCCGATGTCACCAAGAGGACAATCCAAAGGCTGCTCCAGCTGGCGCTCCACCTTCTACCCCTATCCGTTACACTATCCTTTGTCAACCCTCACGCGATTACCGGACAACTGGAACTGAGGAGCAACTTTTTGGAAGAGACAGAAAGAGTGGGCTTCCAAGCCTTCCACCAACTGTATCGTACGTTGGTGGCCAATGCATGTCCAGAGTCGCAGACCAAACCAGGTATATAGTGGATTCCCCCAGACGAGCATTGGAGCGCTTGGCTGCCACGGGAAAGTCATCCCCTGCCCCAGTCGACCCACCTGGCAAAAGACCTCACGATTGCTCCACTGATACGCTGCTTGTCTCGTCGATAGAACTAACTACATGAAACCGAATAGAGATCAAGGTCTTACAGATCAAGATGGTGCTTGCTGGAAGTTGTAGATAATTTCTGTAGTAAATTGTATGGCTATTGTTCAGCGCCTCGATCCCAGGAGCATTACATTGGCCCGGGCCATTTGTGCCGGCTCGGCACGGCCCAGCGCCGAGGTGTCCTGCGGAAGCGGGACCAAAGTGGAGATATTTTCTCCGGTTCTTCTCCACCGCATGAAACTTGGCCGTGGGTCAACACGTCAAAACAGCACAGCAATGCAACCTTCATCACGCAAGCGTCACTAGGTCCCAAGCCATCGAGAGTGAAAATGTTCTTGTGAGACGTTCTTTTCGTACTTTGCTCCGTGGTGTGATTCCTGTCTCCTTCAAACCCCGAAGCTTGGCCGCGCAACAAAAGCTATCGACTTGTCGAGGCAATAGCAATGTTACGAAAGTCGTGTCAAAGGCTTACTGGGTGGTCCCTCTAGTGCATCCTTCAGACCGCTTTTCTCTCCGTGGATGTAGGAAAACCACGGCTCGAATGCCAGCGTGTTGCGATACGACACATCGCCACCTTTATACTCTGGAAGGTCGTAATAAAAGTGCTTGTCGTGCGCAACCTCAACTAGCTGCCCCGTCTTTTCGTTAGATTCATCCTTAAAGAAGACATCGTAGGCCTCAATTAATGCGGGCATCAGTGTCAAACTATCCAAACTGTCAGCGCCATGGACGTCAAATGTAGAGCATACATCAGGGAAGCTAGCTCACTGCTCTGGTTGAAACGCTTCGGAGAAGTTCGGCATAGCCGGCGTATCGACTGCTCCAGGCATAACGCAGTTGATGGTGATATCTTCCTTGAGCTTGAGAGGTTCTGCCATTGTGCGAGTCCAATGGTGTACAGCTGCCTTGGCCGAGCTGTACTCTGGGAACGTCGAGCCTGTGTGAAGCCCAATCATGCTACCCGTGATGACAATTTTGCCACCTGGCGTTCTATTATGGCGCATAAAATGTGTCGCAAGCGTCGTGCCATAGACGACGCCCTTGAAGTGTGTATCGGTGCAAGTCGTACTGGGCTCGGGGGGGATGTCATCAATCGATGCATCGCGGCGACGAAAGTTGTATTTTGAGTCTTCATCGACACCACCAGCGTTGGCGATAAAAATATCCAGGCGCCCCCATGTATCCCAAACCACTTTGAATAGGTTGGCTTGCGATGCGTACAAGGCAACATTGGTCCGAACGAAGATGGCTGTTCTACCTGCTGGATCGATTGATGCTGCTGTTGCTTGTCCTTCGGGTCGCCGACCGGTGATGACTACTCTGTAACCATTATCGTGCAGGTGTTTGGCTACTGCCAAACCAATACCGCTCTGAAGGACCGTCAGATCAGAGACTTTTCTGTGATTCAGAGCCGCTCAAACTTGGTGAACACCACAAATGTCCTAGGAAGTACATACAGTTGAGCCGGTAACGATAGCCACCTTTTCATGATCCTTAGGTAATGATCCCATGCTTCAGACGAGCTTATAAAAATGATTTCTTGAATAATAGTCGTCAATACCAAGCGGGCGTCTGTGTACTGTGCGTGGATCGATGTAGTGGTTTGAGTGAGACGATGCAAAAGCATTCAGGGGCTACTGTCAGCAACGTCGCAGAAGGCGATGTGGGAAATACACCGGAATAAACCCAAGAGCCATCTTTCGTAGAGGAAGAAAACGTCCGACCCCGGGGTACTTGGGCCTCTGTTGATAGCGAAGGCTTCGCCTGCCTGTCAAACGGTACCCCGTGCTAACCCTGGTTGCTGCTAGCTACGAGTAGGCTGCCAAGTGGCGATCTGTGGTGCGACAGCAGACCTCCCTGGTGGTTTCACTCGTACCACTCGTTGCATTTGCTCCTTCTCTTGACCCTTACTCGGGAATTCGGATTACTGGTCCCATCATAACTCTGTCATGCCTGATCAATAGGGATGCTGAGGTGCCCCTCTGTTGCCCAGCAGGCGGGGCCTTTTCTCGGACATCCACCTTTGGGAACTTTGGGTCGAGTCAGCACGAGAGCAAAGATGGAGCCACTTGGACGGATAGCTAACCGTGGCGGGCCTTGTCCCTTCGTCTTTCCGTTGCAGAATATCCGAAAAGTGTAAAACATGACGGAACACGCGAGCTTTCTAATATATACAGGTGTCTTTGCGTCTATGCCTGTATGGTTTGTTCACTTTCCAATCCCTCTTTGAACAATTCGTCGAAACGAGTACATCAACTTCCTTGAAGGAGAGTCTTCCTGCTATGCTGGCCAGCCTGACGAAGAAGCACTCCGTTGTCACTGTAACAGTCCATCATGGCGACTGCTGCAAGCATGCCTGTGGCGGTTGAATCCCCAATCCCAATAGAAAACGGAAAACAGAGAGGTCTGATAGCCGCTTCAACATTCTGCCTGTTTATAACCAGCTTCATGGTGGCTCTTCGACTCATCGCCAAGACGAAATCGAAAAAGGCACTCAACGCCAGTGATGCTTGCATTCTTGTAGCGCTGGTCAGTATTACCACGGACTTTCTTTGGAAAGAATGCTTGCTATATTGCATCCAGCTCACTGATCGTGTTTGCAGTTCTTCAATACCGCACTACATGCCGATGTCTTCATCATGGTGGTGCATGGAGGATTTGGATTCCATGTGCAGGACATTGCCATGCGCTTCGGTCCAGATGTTCTCACAGTCTTTTTCAAGGTTTGCAGCCTTTCAATATCGATTTTCCTCCAGCTTGCTGACGCCGCCAGTGCATCATGGTATTCGCACTTCTTTGGAACGCAACGACCTGTTTTACGAAGCTCTCGATCCTCCTCATGTACATGAGCATTTTCCCCGTACGCCGCGTAATACTCCCGTGCAAGATACTCGCAGTCTTCATCATCCTCTGGAACACTGGAGGTATCCTTGGAGGCGTCCTCGTCTGCCGTCCATTCGCCATGAACTGGGACCAGACGATCCCCGGCGGCAAGTGTGGCAACCAGCCCATGTATTACATGGCACTGGGGGTCATCAACATTCTGGTCGAGGTCACTATGCTTGCCCTGCCACTTCCCGTGCTCTACAACCTGCAGATGCCCATGCGCAAGAAGGTTGTCATCATCAGCATGTTCAGCGTCGGATTCGCCACGTGCGCCATCACCATCTACCGACAGGCCACGCTGCCCGATCTTCAATTCGCCGACATGACGCACAGCGGTGCCGTTGCGACGCTCTTGTCGGGGCTGGAGCCATCTGTCGCCCTGGCCCTCGCATGTGTGCCCTTCCTGCGGCCGCTGTTCGGAGGCATGTTCGGCTCGTCGCAGAAGGGATCGAGTTATGCCAACGTGAAGCCAAAGACAGAAAGCTACAAGAAGGGCAGCAAGCGCAGCGAGAGTCGGGACTTTGAGGAGCTCCAGGATGATGCGTCGGAGATTCAGCTTCGCCCTGTCATGCCGATGAGGGATACCCTGGTTGTCTCTGACCGTATAGCAGCATCGAGGAGCTTGAAGGACTTGAAGGGGGATGGTATCACCGTAGAGCGCCAGTGGGAGGTTGACACGAGTGAAGATGGCGACGCGCCCCATCGCGGTTAAGCAATTTCTCAAGTGCCGGTGCTTTGGTATCGAGCTTCCAACTTTGTTGTCAAGATTTTAATCAGTCGCTCGTCTACAAGGATGGTTTTTGCAAGACAAAGCAAGTCACCTCTGACGCATTAGCACACTGACCAACACGGCCTCAATTCGTTCCTCATCAACTCCCATTATCCCAGTTACAAGAAAAGATAGTATATCGCTTTTAATACTTTTCGCACACTACTCAAAAGAGACAAATTTCTCCCCATACTGCTCAGCAAATTTCTTGTACCTGTCCAGGTAGGCCTGATGCCTGTCCCTGAACCCCTGAGCCGTCTTCATCTCCTCCCGCCCAACCTGATGTCGGTGCGCCGCGTCCGGCCCGTCCGCCACGCGCACGAAGCGCGCATACGTCCACATCTCCGGCAGCGGCGTGTGCTGCGTGAGGCCCTGGCCGCCGTAGATCTGCATGCACTCGTCGATGATGCGGGCGGCGAGCTCGGGGACGAGGATCTTGCTCTGGGCAATGGCGCGCTTGCCGGCCTTGTTGCCGAGCAGGTCCATCGTGTCGGCGGCGTTGAGGACGACGAGGCGCGCGGCGTCGAGCTCGAGGCGCATCTGGGCGACGCGCTCAATGTTGGAGTCAAAGTCGCCGATGAGGCGGCCGCGCGGCTTCTTGCGCGGGTCGATGCAGCGCACGAGGGCGAGCTCGTAGGCGCGCTCGCACTGGCCGATGAGGCGCATGCAGTGGTGGATGCGGCCGGGCCCGAGGCGGCCCTGGGCGATCTCAAAGGCGCGGCCCTCGCCGAGGATGACGTTGCCGACGGGCACGCGGACGTTGTCGTACTTGTACTCGCCGTGGCCCTCGGGGGCGTGGTCGTAGCCCATGATGGTGAGGTTGCGCACCTGCGTGATGCCGGGCGTGTCGCAGGGCACGATGAGCATGGAGTGGCGGCGCCACTTGTCCGGGTGGTCGGGCGCCGTGCAGCCCATGAGGATGTAGAAGGAGAGCTCCTTGTTCCAGAGGCAGTTTCCGTACAGCTTGCGGCCGTTGATGACGTACTCGTCGCCGTCGCGGCGGATGGAGATGCCAATCTGAGTGGCGTCTGAAGAGGCCACGTCGGGCTCGGTCATGGAGTAGGCTGAGGAGGCCGTACCGTCGAGCAGAGGCTGAAGCCACTTGGCCTTCTGTTCGGGGGAGCAGTACTTTGCGAGGAGCTCAATATTGCCCGTCTCGGGAGCGTGGCAGTTCATCGTCTGGGCGGCCCAGTAGCAGCGGCCCATGATCTCGGCGCAGCACGAGTATTCGAGATTTGTGAGGCCCGGGCTCTCTTTGAAGTGATTTGGTAGGAAAAGATTGAATAGACCGCGTTCCTTCGCTCGCTCCCGGAGCTCATGAATCAGAGGCGGTGTCGTCCATCGCTTGCCCTCAAGCTGTGCCTTCATGACTTGTTCGCGGGGAATGCATTCGTTTTCGACCCAGTCAAAGACAGCCTGAATCTTTTCAATAGCCAGAGGTGACAGCTTGGCCTTGACCCACGGGGGGATTCGGCTGAAGGCAGGGCCCTCGAGTTTTGGTGTTGTCTGGGATGGTGACATGATGCTGCTTCGTCTGTCAGGGTTAGGGTATCGCCGGGCCGCAGATGGACAATAACAAGGCGGACAGTCGGGAAGGAGGAATAAAAAAGGTGAATAGTGTTTATGCTATGTCGTACGAAGATCGAAGGAGCATATAATAGAGAGCAGATGATGGGCACACATAGGAATGATAACAGAAAGATTCGGCTGGAAGTCTTGTTCCACTCCGCAGACTACCGCGGCATTACAACTCCACCTCCCCACTTCCCCTCAAACTACCCCGGCCTCCCACCGGACGACTTTTGGTCGGCGGATCCTTGAGGATTCCTCAATGAGAGAAGATGGCTGGAGATCTGTTGGGGTAATTAGGACCATAGAACGGACCTCGGGCATGCGGGGAAATTGTCAGAGGGCAGAAAGATGCTATTATAGTTGTTTGTTGGATTCTCTCTTGCATTTTCAGGTGGTTGATAATGATCAATGGCATTGTATCTAGGCACATAGTGGACTCTCCAGGCCTGTGATCAGCACCACCTCACGGGATGATCTTGGCCTTGCGGAACCGGTCCAGCGTCGTCCACCACGAGGTCTTGGTATCAATCTCCTCCTTTGCAGACCCCCACATCTCATGACACTTGCTCAGGTCCATCTGTCGATCAAAGTCGAGCATGGTGATGATGAAGTAGGCAAAAGGCCCGAAACTGCGATCATTGCCCACCCTCCCACTGACCAGGCCGTATTTTTCTTCCAGCGCCTTCCAGTCGTCAAAGTGCTCCGCAAGATACTGGGCGGGCTGCGGCCCTGAGCCGCCCGGGGGCGGTGCCGTGCCCTTGAGGCCAAAGTACTCGCAGATGACGGGCCACTTCTCGCTCCAAGACGATGGCTGCGAGTTGTCCGTTGCGTTGTACCGCTGCTCGGCCGTCGTCTCAGGGTGCAGCGACGCGTAGATGCAGACCCTGGCCACGATGTCCTGGTTGCTCTCGTTGCTGAGGTTGCGCCACGACCGCTCCGTGCCGGGGAACGGGACCTCGGCGCCCTTGCCTTCGAGCTCGGCGTAGAGCGCCAGGTACGTGCCCACCGTCTGCGCGAGGCAGTAGATGTTGTTGTTGGGCACGAAGCCGATGATGTTGTCTGGGATCACCTCGCACCAGGTCCACGACTTGCCCTTGGCCATCTCGAAGAGCATGTCCGTCTGGTCGTAGTAGAACATCTGCGAGGCGTACGGCTCGGGGATGCGCGGCAGTGATTCTCGCAGGGGCAGGTCATTCTTAAAGGGAAAGTTCTCGTCCAGAAGGTGCACGCCGTATGCCTTGGTTCCGGTCGGCAGGACGACGAATTTGAGACTCTGGGAGAGGTTCTCGACGGCGGAGACGGCGCGCTTGATGAGTTCCTTGTTGATCGAGCACTCTTTCGCCGGATCGGTGTCCATGATGTAGGCTACGTTTCTTGTATCAGCATGGCGCCAAACCTTGTTAGTGGATGTATTTTGATGACCCACCAAAGAAGTAGACATGGCTGATGTTGGCGATATTCTTGACTTTGGCTTTGAGGTCTACTTCGAGCCCGTCTTGCCCTTTCGAGGTCAAGATGTCGACGCCACTGGCAATCTGGAGCTTTTCCGATTTTGGCCAAAACGCGGCATCGGGGTCCAACGGTCGATTCGTCAGGGCCGTGACCGAGGCAAAGGCGTCTTTGGACGGGTACCCCTCGAGCAGGGCATTTGTGATGGACCAGCCAGTAATGCCGCTGGCGCCTGTGGATTTTGGTTAAAAATGAGCTAGTGAGCCTGCAGTATGACCGGGAAAAACCAACCATAGATGAGTGCGTGATTCTGCGTCATTGTGTCTGTCAATTTGGCTCGTGAGGAAAGAAATGTAAGGCAGACACAAGTCTAGGCGTACTATCGCGATTGGCGAAGCGAGAGCACGTCTCCGGCGCGCATCGCGGAGACAGACTGCCTTGATGTAGCAGCATCTCTGTGCTCCCTGTGGATGTCAAGCTCAGGTGGGGTCAAAGGCCATCCCGCGTGAACATGGAGGGGCCAATGTTGCGTACTAGGGTAGTGATCGGGTATCAAGACGCAGGATGTCGACACCAGTTCGCTACCAGGAACAACCTACCCCGTTTGGGTGAGAGCTTGATGCGGATGAACCCAAGGGCTCATGTGAGCCAGCCTGATGCAAGACGCCACATCCTCAACAACAGTCGCGATGAGTTTGGTCCATGATGGTTGAAGCTGGTCTTCTTGATCCCATCAAAATGAGGAGGCCAGCCGCTGTATCCCCGCTCTCCCGCAAGCCAGGGCTACGGATGTCAACCAAACACAAATCTCCGTGGGAAGATTGAAGAGGAGTGCTCGCCTCGAACGACATCCAAATACTGGCGTCGCTTGTTCAAACGCCATGAATGGCCAACAGCTTGTCGAGTCGCTCCTCACGTTACTCTTGGCGGGCACACGAGAAATCTCGAGTCAGGCCGATTTCACTCCTTCCACCACTGAAGGGTCCGGGTGGCCCAGGTACTGCATTTCCCCGCGCGGTACGTACCTCCAACGCCTGGCAGTCACTACCTGGAAAATCTTACCCTGACGAGCATCCTCCCCCCTATCGAGAAATGCTTGCATGGGATCATAGACAGCTCACCTCCACCAAGTCTCACAAGCTGGCGGCAGCGGCAGTAGCAGTAGCAGTCGAATAGCTCAGCCCAAGCTGACCACATCCCCCCTCCTGGCTCTGCTCAGACGACTGTCGACCGCGGCATCTCAGTCGTCTGGAAATGCACTTCCCGCAGCCCACATCCGAGGCGTTCGCGTCGCTCCGTCCACGCCGACGCCAGACGGCGGTTCGCCATCTCGGATACTCACATGCGATACTCGGGACCATGGCCCAACTCCCAAACCATGCACGACAGATCGAACCATGCCTGCCCTGCATATCCTGAACTTAGTCTGTCCCCAAACGGGGGCTGCGGTGCTCCGTACATCGCGCGCCGAGTAACTGGACCTCCTGGAACTACGTCCGATATATTTACACTTTGTCCCGGTCTCTTGTGCCATCCTTCTTCCCACTCTCTTTGCATTGCTGCTCCTTGTTCGCGATACCCTAAAGACCCAAGGCCGTGCTTCCGACCCTCGACATCATGGCGCCTTCAGCAGAGTCTAGTGGTGCCGGTGTAAGTGCCCAGCCAAACGGCCACCAGAAGAATGGCCACACCAACGGCACCTCCAACGTCACAGGCACCGCCAATGGTGTCCGCGGTCACGACAGTGGAAATCTATACCAAGACTTCGCCTACCCTCCAGTCGTCGAGGATGGGACGCCGTACAGGGTTCTGAAGCAGTATCATTCCAAACCTACAAAGTTGCGCGTGGCTTGCATCGGTGCTGGCGCCTCGGGATTATGCTTGGCATACAAGATGGAGAAGCAGATGGTCCCCGACAGCTGGGAACTGACTCTCTTCGAGAAGAACCCTCACTTCGGCGGCACATGGTACGAGAACACGTGAGTCTGTACACATCCCGAATATTCAGCTCGCGCTAACAACAACGCGAAAGATATCCCGGTGTTGCCTGCGACGTAGGTCCCAGACGATGACACCCCTCTACGCTCTTGCTGTCTAACGGTAACCTGCAGATCCCGTCTCATCTGTACACCTTCTCCTGGGACCCCAAGCCCGACTGGTCACACTACTTTGCCTACGGCGACGAGATCCAGCGCTACTTTGAAGACTTTGCCGAGCGCAACGGGTCGAAGCGCTACATGAAGCTCAACACCAAGGTCGTCGAGGCCCGCTGGGACGAGCCCAAGGGCCTCTGGAACCTGACGCTCGAGGACCAGCGCACCAAGGCCTCCTGGCAGGACTGGTGCCACGTCCTCGTCAACGGCACCGGCATTCTCAACAACTGGAAGTGGCCCGACGTCGAGGGCCTGCACGACTTTGCCGGCCCCAAAATGCATTCCGCAGCCTGGGACCACTCGGTGGATTTCGAGGGCAAGACGATCGGCGTCATCGGCACCGGTAGCACGAGCGTCCAGATTGTGCCGGCGCTGCAAAAGGTCGCAGGGACAAACCTCAAGGTCTTTATGCGCTCGTCGACGTGGATTTCGCCTCCCTTTGGAGGCGGCGTCCTCGAGACGGATCTGCGAAAGGACAAGGAGGGTGCGCAGCCGGGCAAGAGGCAGTACACGTTTACCGAGGAGGACAAACAAAAGTTCCGCGATGACCCGGAGTATCACCTCATGTTCCGCAAGAGGATAGAGGCTGAGATCAACTCCCTCTTCGGCATGTACCAGCGGGGCTCCGAGCTCTCGGATCAGTTCCGGCAGGTCATCAAGGACGAGATGGAGAGGCGCATCGGGCCTGGTAACGAGGAGCTGAAGAAGTTCATCATTCCCGACTGGGCTCCCGGCTGTCGTCGCATCTCGCCTGGTGACGGGTACCTTGAGGCCCTGGTGCAGCCGAATGTGAAGCCCGTGTTTGGTGGTATCAAGCAGATTGTGCCCGAGGGCATCATCACCGCTGACGGCGAAACGCACAAGATCGACATTCTCGTGTGCGCGACTGGTTTCAACGTCGCCTTCAGACCAGCCTTCAAGCTCGTCAACGGAGCCGGCAAGACATTGAACGAGGACTGGGGCGACAGTGTCAACCTCTACATGGGTGTGTCAGCGCCACGGTTCCCCAACTACTACACCATTGTGGTAAGTCGATGTTCTGCAACGCCTTTCGTCCTGAGACTGATGTCCGTCTAGGGCCCTGGCGCAACGTGGTCATCGGGCACGCTGCTGCCCTCCATCGAGACGACAATCGAGTACTCAATCCAAATGATGAAGAAAATTCAGCACGAGAACATCCGCTCCATCGATGTCAAGCAAGACGCCCTCGACGACATTTACGCCCACTTTGACGAGTTCCACAAGACAACAGTATTCAAAGAGAGCTGCAGGAGTTGGTTCAAGGACGGCAAGATCAAGAACCGCATCTACCTGTGGCCTGGCTGCGTAAGTCCCTCGTGTCGTTCGCCCGACTGATGGTACAATCGCTAATGTAGCTCAAGACAATCCACTTCCTCAAATCGATCAAGACTCCACGATTCGAGGACTATAATATTCGGTACCGTTACGCCAATAGGTTTGCGTTCCTCGGCGACGGCGAGATCAAGGCGAATACGACCAAGAATGTCCTTGGCTTAAGCACATATGTTCGGGATCATGATCACGACTGGAACGTTGATTGATTCCATTGTGCTTGCGTGCGAATTTGCATAGTATGGCTGGCGTTACACTGACGGATTGTATGCAAGGCGACGAGTCCATGTTGTTATCAGGGCAGAGGACGAAGATGCATTTTGTGGGGGATATCATTTGAGAGAAGCAGCATTCTGCAAAGTCCCTTATTCATCGTATGGTCTGAAGTGATGAAATGCATTGATGGTACTTGCCCGACCTGGAACATGAATCAGTGGTAAAATAGACAAAGATGGTCAGCCAGAGGCAGGTGCAACGTGCTCACACTCGCTAGAATACCGTGCTCCAGAGTTTCCAATGTCTAGTAACGACTTTTTAGGAAATATCAGGCGATGATTCGGGTCACTGACTCAACGTGGCTGCCACGCTGCGAACGGCAGTCTGGCACTGACCACAAGCCGTCGTCTTTGGTTGCCGCAAGTGGCGTTGGCGGGGCCCTGGATTGGTTTGGCGCTTTGATGGCCAGAGTCCCTGATCTGATTCGGCCGGGTTGATGCTGCGTCTCGTGGTCCATCAAGCCGACGACATGCTAGCCTTTTATGATCTTCCCCAAGATAGTCCCAGTACGTCGTCGTGCGAAAAGGCATGCTGGCCCCAGTCCTATGCCGCGGAAGCACCGCATGCCAGGCTCGCTTCAAGACTTGTGCCTTTCGAGGGCAGCTGGATATGGTCTGATTTCTGAACCCTGGATTGGAACAACTAGTCCCTGTATGCTGCTGGTCTCGAACATTTGACCTAATACTCCGAGAATGTGCTGCATTATTTCGTCACCGTGCAGTGCATATGGATGTGCAAGTACTGTGAGAAGCGCCGATCAAAATGATGCCTCACCCACGTCGTGCAAACGCGAGTAGACCCAAGTTGTATGACACGGGTTGGCGCCGTATTCGATTCCTACGCGTGTCATGAATCCAGCCGGCCGGGCCTTTCCCGAGTCATTACATCTGGGGTCCAACGCGGGGTTGCTGCGCATGCTTCCCTACGATGGCGTCTGATTCGTTTTCCTCACGACCCCGCCCCCGTGCTCCGGCTATTTCTCCAACAACTAGGACTAGCCGGGGCAATAGCTCTGGAGCCGCGGAAGCTGCTCGTGTGGAGATAAGACTTGGTTGGCCTCTCCTTCTGATGTCTCTCGAGAAGACGAGAATTAGGCGTCTTTTAGCGGTAATGCGGCGTCTCAGTCGTGGTCACAGGGGTGACAGGGGTGGCGGCCGTCGCGAAGACGGCCTAGACGTTGTGGAAGGGGTCCTAGACATGCCGTAGGTAGGTATATGGCGTGAGCGTGACCCTTGCCAACACGCCTGGGCCAAGAGGAGCAAGATGTTGAGAATCCGGGGAAAGTGGAATCTGGGGAAGAAAGTCCGGGGTGGTTTTGAGGTCGCGCTCCGATTCGAGTTCTTGAGGCGATTGCTGGGGTGTTGCAGCGACCAATATAGACTCCTATTCAAGAGAGGCTGTGTGGTATTTGAGGTCTCGAGCTCGATTCGAGGGTTCGGTTGTGGCCGTCAGAACGCCATTCGTCGGGTTCGGCCTCGAGTGGGAGTCCGTGTGAATGGGTTTCTCCGTGTCTTGCTGGCCAACAAAGAGTAGTGTATGGCACGCAGGGTAAACGGGCTTGACAGGAGACCCCGCCTGCAACTGGTCCCTTTGGGCTGCGCGATGGACGAGTATGATCTCATGTTCGTGTAGGGGCGTGATGGGAGTCGGCCACAAGGGGTTGACGAGTAGCGCAATGCCCAATGACCCATGGACCTCAGCACTGCCAGGTACCACCCTCTTCTCTTCCATTGTACCTTCGCCATCCCAGCTTCAGACTGCCGCGCCTGCACACCAAAGCTCCTGCACTACCTTAGTCCAAGCTGCTTGCCTGCACGCCAAGTGCTGCTTCTGGCTCAGACTGTGGGGCTTTGCCTCAAGACCTAGAACCCAGCCAAGTCCAGTCCCGGTTCTGTTGGGCTGACACCTTGAAGCATACTCCCTCATCTCTTCCTCCTCTGCGCGAAGCTTCCGCTCATCTACAACATCTACCAGAACCTTCTTGGGTTGAATTGTTATTCAATGAGCCCCGGTGTCTCAACTGCCATTCAAGTAGACTTCGCAACAAAACCCACTCCTGACCGTTTCTCCATCCGCTGTGGTTTGCCACTTCGTCAAGGCCTATCACATAGTCCTGGCTTCATCATGGCCAACCATAATGGCACCAAGTCTGCCTCCGAAGAGACGACTGGCGTGACCTCTCAGGAGAATGTCTCGCCTCGAAATGCCGCCCCCCGATCCAGTTCCAATAAGCAGCAGATTCGCCACAGGGCTTCAGTTGCCTGTGCATCGTGCCGCGAACGTCGAATCCGCTGCGTCGTGCCCAAGGGTGACAATGAATGTACTCAGTGCAAACGTTCTGGAACTGATTGTGTCATTAAGAATGATGACGAAAGGCGACGGTACGCTTCTCTTGTTCTCAGGCGTCTCATTCGAGGCCATCGAGCTGACCTATCCCATGCAGTCCCATCTCGAAAGCCTACATGTCGTCACTCTCGGAACGGATCGCCTTGCTCGAAGGTCTTCTCGAGGAGAAAGGCGTTGAACCACCGCCAGCGGCTCATCCACCCAAAACTCGACACGAAGGGCAGAGTAAATCCTCAGACGAACAGATCAAGGATGCCCACAACCAGACGCAGCCCCCCGTGCAGCCCTCAACAACCTATTCGCCTTTGCCAGAGGTGCCTTCACCCCCCGATTCAGCCAATGAGGAGTTCTCCATCCAGGAGAGTGACCAGCAGGCGGCCAGTCAAAATGGCAATTCTTCCTCGTACTCCATCCCGCCGCCCCCCGGCGTCAAAGAAACGTCTCCTTTCCGTATGCTAGACCCAAGACAAGACGACATGGTCCATCGACTTCTCTCTACCAAAGGAAATTTGGCCTTCGATCAGCTCTCTGGACGCATCCGGTTCTTCGGCCCTACTGCCAACAGTCACGTCTACACAGACACACAAGACCATCTCGACGCCCGCGAGCCCCCTGAACAAGTTCGTCGTGCCGAGCGCATCATCCGCTCGCTCTCTTCTGAGACGCATACTTACCTGATGGACAACTTCTGGGGCTACTACAATGCGGTTCTCAATATCATCCATCAAGAGGCCTTTGAGGCCGACCGCGATGCCCAAAGCCCACGATTCTACTCAAGTTTCTTACACATTGCTATACTCGCCATGGGCTTCAGATTCGCCGACTTTGGCCGAGACGACATGCGACGCATTACCATAGGCAGCCGCGAAAGCACCCTCCATCGCGAGGCAAAGTATATGCTCGACATTGAACTTGAGCGTCCCGGAGGTATCCCGAGCGTCCAGGCCCTCCTGCTGCTGGGTGACCTGGAGTGCGGTGTCGGTAGAGATAACACAGGCTGGATGTATTCGGGTATGGCCAACCGATTGGCTTTCGATATTGGCCTCCATCTCGACTGCCGCGACAATGGTATCAGTGATATCGAGATAGATATCCGGCATATGGCCATGCGGGCTTGCGTCATCTACGACAAGTACTGGGCTCTTTTCCTGGGGCGACCTACGAGCATCAAGAACCAAGACATCGGCATGGATCTCCTGTCCAAACACTTTTCCCAACTCTCGTCCATGTTACAGGATGGCACATCGACACCAGACAAGAAGTCCACTGGTATTGAAATTTATGAGCAGCTCATTGAATTGATGGAGCTTGCTGGCCGTATCGTGGAGACTCGCGAAAATAATCGAGTCTCTAGCAGCCGCAACGCCAACATCTCTCCGGATCAGCAGGGCATCACTGATGCTGCGGGCGCCGACGCCGATGCCGAGGACAATGCCTACCTGCACGTCATCAATCTTGACCGCCAGCTACAGAACTGGTACCGCCGCTTGCCCGACCACTTGCAATGGAAGCCTGCCAATATCAAGACGGCACCCTACAGTTTCTTTCTTCTGCATCAGCAGTACCACGTCTCAATGATTCTCCTTCACCGTCCCTGGGCCAAGTACGGGGCATCTGGCGATGGCGCCAGCACCGGGTCCCATCCTTCACCAGAGGCTCATGCGCCCCAAACACCACACGATCGGGCAGCGCTCCCCTTCGGGGCTATCAACACTGCTACTGACCCTCATTTACTGGGTCTGGGCATGGGTGATCCGCATTCCATGGTGGACGACAGTCGCACATCGCTCTCGCGGAGTATTTGTACTCAGCAGGCCATTCGCGTAGCTCGCATCTTCTGGCAGCACCGCCAGCGTTTCGATGGGACAAAGATCTTCGTCACAGGAATACAGCACGCGGGCACGGCTGCAACAGCCCTCATCGCCGCCCTGGCGCACAACGCCAGCCCCACTGACCGATCGACCTATCTCGGCTACCTCGAGATTCTTGCTTGTGCCGTTTCTGATATGTCCCATACCTACCACCCAGCTGCACGCATGGACACGCTGCTGCAGGCCGTCCTCGCCCAATTAAGGCCGGAAGCCGAAGCTCAGCAGATGGATCCGTGGTCCGGGCCATCAATCCCCGTCCGGCGCGACTCCACTGCTCTTGCCGATGCCATCGCTCCGGCTTCCAAGCGGAGACGGCCTGCGGGCTCCCGGCGTGCCAGCGAGTTCACAAGGCCACCGCCTCCATTTTTCGCCCCGGGGCCGACACAGCCTACACAGCCTACGCCTCCGCAAAGCAGCCATTCTTTCGGAGCACGCCATTACTCCAATCAGTTGGATCCAGCCATGTATACGCTAAGCAGCACGACTGACACGTCGCATCCGGGATTCAGTCTCGATTTTTTGTCGGGCAGCGCAATTGACAATGATGGCGATGAAACTAACAGACCTGCGGACGATTACGTCGTTGTGCCGCCACAATCGGACGCATGGTCTCTCACAGGAGTCAGCGGTGGCGATGGCGGCAACGCCATCTGGAACGCCGGGCCTGCAGGGTTGAGTGCCAGTTCCGTGCTCGGCGGCGGCGTCGCCCCGAGTATGCTCTCGCATGGCCTGTACAGTGGATCGAGAGGTGAGACAGACGGCCTCAGAGGGGCCATGGCAAGCGCAGGAGAGAAAGGTCTTGACGACGGCAAGCCGAGAGAAGCGGGAGGGATGGACTGGATGGACAGCGAGGGTGGCCTGGACGCGCTTAGCCCTGTGAGCTTGAGCGGGCTCGTGAACAGTGTCACGGCGGACAAGACGAGAGGGACTGATATTGAAAGTGGTGGACCGGCACGGAATCACGACTTGGATTTCTTCAGCTTCTGACTTCTGAGAGTGTAGAAATTTTCTCTTTTGGATCTTTCGTAGCCTTTCAGCTGGGTGTTGGTGTTTGGATTTTGCTTGTCTGAGAATGTGGAAGCAAGGCACAAGCTTGTTCAACGAAATGGTCTGCTCTCCTTGATGTCTTATCAGCGGTTCAGATTGGTCATGCAAACCAAATCATTGCAATCTCATCACATGTACTCAATTCCATGCTTGCCTCAAACCACCCCTCAGCCTCTCATTGTATCGTGAAGCCACCGTCTGCAACGAGGGCCGCGCCCTGCATAGCACTGCTCATGTCCGAGGCCAGGAACGCGATGCAGTCGGCGACCTCCTCCATCTGCATGATCCGCTGCAGCGGCGTCCGGGCGATATCGTTGGCGAGGGGCGAGTCGGCGGCGGCGGACATGGCCTTTTGCACGAGCGGCGTCTCGACGTAGCCGGGACAGATGGCATTGACGCGGATGCCGCGCGGGCCATACGTGTTGGCGTCGGCGCGCGTGAGGCCGAGGACGCCGTGCTTGGCCGCCGTGTAGGCCGTGTGGGCGAGGTGGTGGGCGGGGGCGACGAGGCCGTACATGGAGGCGACGTTGACGATGCGGCCGCGGCCGCGGCGGGGGCCAAGGTCGTCCTGGGCGAGCATGGCGCGCAGCTCGGCGCGCTGGCAGCGCCAGACGCCGTGGAGGTCGACGTCGAGGACGCGGGCGAACTCGGCCTCGTCGAGCTCGTGCGTGGCGCGGCCGGAGCCGCCGATGCCGGCGTTGTTGACGGCGACGTCGAGGCGCCGGAAGCGGCGGACCGTCTCGGCGATGCCGCGGTCGACTTGCTCGGGCTTCTGCACGTCGAGGTCGAGGGACAGGATCTCGAGGGCCGGGTGCTGGGCTTGCAGGGCTGCGTTCGCCTTGGCGAGGAGGGGGCCGTTGATGTCGGCCAGGGCGAGGTGCGTCATGCCGTGCTTGGCGAAGGCGAGGGCCGTGTATTGACCGATGCCTGTTGTGGTGTCAGCAATTTGAGGTCGGTCAGGCTCGACAGGAAGGGAGAAGGGGCGTACCTGATGCTGCACCCGTGATGAACGCGGCTCCCCTCAGCAGGGTGGTCATCGCAGTGAGGAGGTGAAGACAAGTATCGAGGTGATCAGATCAGAATAAAGAGCATTTCGTATGAATCCCGGTGCCGAACGACTTGTACAGCATTTCCCAAGGAAAGCGGCACGGCACGACCCCCCAAAGGTCGCGAGGAGGATTTGGGAGGTATAGGTAGGCATGGCTTCAGCGGCAAGCGGGAGTCGATGTCCTGTAAAGGAACGGTCTGGGTAAGCTTCCCAGCAAGTGGGTCCTTTCGCTAGAGCTCCCCTGGATCGAGGAAGAAGTTTCCCCGAAGGGTGGTCGAGGAGATGGTGTCTTTCTCCAGCTTCCCGAATGGCGTCTGGCCACCGAATGGGCCGGCTTCTGTCCCACGTGGTTCGATCTCTGTGTCTGGCCTGTTGGAAATCTTGGTCTGAGTATTGAAGTTATGCCGAAATGACTTTTGGTGCTGGGTGTAAGCACGGAGATGGGTTTCCGCCTAGGTGACCTGAGACGTGAGAGGCTGTTGGGGGGCCATCTCTTCTAGCAAGGCTTCCATGGGAGCAGGCTTTTCCCATGGAACGATGACCGATTCCGTCAACCGCTCTCAGAAAAGTTGAACTGGTAGAATGGCAGAATGCCTGCACAGGTGTCAGAGGATGGAGGCCGAGAAGAGCTCAACCAGTGCCTGCCACAGACATCAGGTGAGATTATGTCAGCGTGCTGTCCCGCCTGATCCACCAGGCGAAAGGCGCTTGGGGAGCTGAAGCTGCCCGCATTCAGGGCCAGTGTCGGCCTGTCACCTGCTGGCTCACCGACATGGTCGAACGAGCATAGCTACGTCGAAAAAGAAGAACAACAACAATCAGCTCCTGCAGATCTGAATCACCTGCACCTTCGTATCGCCTTCTTTGCATTGCATCCCACAGTATCCCGCCACTAAGTTATACAGTCTTCGATGACCAGCTTCGACATGAGGACCGACGCCAAAACAGCGGCAGTCTGACGTCAACCCACTTCAACCCCTCCGCGATGTCTCTGATACCATACCATCCCCAAGAGGGTCGCGAGATAGTTCTGTGAGTCGCTTCAGGACCCTTCGAATCATATGCTGCCATCTTGCTGATGTTTCTTCAAAATAGACGCCACCGGAATGCCATTGTCGTCCGCGATCCCGCCTCCCAAAGACTCGCCATCCGAAGCGTCACCGAATGCCCTACCTGCCACCAGCCATTGCGCCCATCGTCCCCAGACCGCCATGGTTTCGAGGCATCCTCGCAGCAGGACTCATACGTTGACCCAGGCTACTTTCGCATGCTGCGTGCTGGGCACGGCGAACAGGAAGCCAGCGAGCCCCCGTCCAGTCCCATTCGACGCCTGATCCGTCCCGTTCTGCCCCAAGCTCAGCCAGCCGCCTTTGAAGAAGTTGACGATGCCGAGTTCGTGTCCAGCACCCCCCGTGTGCAGCAAGGTAGCCGCATTCGCCGTGAGGCTTTCAGTCCGAACTACTTTAATACATTCTTCGTCGAGGAGCGAGAGCTAGGACGCGGCGGCAAGGGAGTCGTGCTGCTGGTCCGCCACGAGATTGATGGTTGCCATCTGGGTATGCTCGTCGCTCAGGAAGGACTCTTGTCAAGCCCGAGGTGCTAACCCCCACAGGACACTTTGCATGCAAGCGCGTGCCCGTCGGAGACGACCATGCTTGGCTAGAGAAAGTTCTCATCGAGGTCGAGCTCTTGGCGAAGCTCTCTCATCCCAATCTCGTGTCCTACCGACACGTCTGGCTCGAAGATGTCAAGCTCATCCGATTTGGACCCAGCGTCGCCTGTGCCTTTATCCTGCAGCAGTACTGCAACGGCGGCGATCTTCTCAACTACATAAACGGAGACCAACCGAAGCAAACCACGAAGGAAGAGCTCAAGGCGCGCCTGCGGAGGAGGTCCAAGGGTCAGTCCGAGCGAGCTCCAGTCTCACAACGGCATCTCTCTTTTGAGGAGATTTATTCCCTGTTCAGGGATGTGACGTCTGGTCTTTCATACCTCCACGCGGCCAATTACATCCACCGCGATCTCAAGCCGAGCAATTGTCTCTTACATAGGGAGGGAGGCAATCTGATCTGTCTGATCAGCGATTTTGGAGAGGTTCAGCCCGGAGGACAGGTGCGCAATTCCACCGGCTCCACAGGCACCATCTCCTATTGCGCACCCGAAGTCCTGAAGAAGGACCATGCAACGGGCTTCTACGGCAACTTCACCACCAAATCCGATATCTTCTCCCTCGGCATGATTCTGTACTTTATGTGCTTTGGCCGCCTACCCTACCAGAACGCCAATACAATCAACGAGGAGCTGGAGGACATTGATGAACTGCGTGCTGAAATAACCGATTGGCAGGGCTTCCAGGATGAACGGAGAGAACGTCCGGATCTACCACCGAAGCTTTACCAACTTCTCAAAAGGCTTCTCGCCCTGGACCCCGTACAACGACCCAGCGCCAACGAAGTTCTTGCCGCCATGAAGGGAGAGACAATACTGGATGGCATTCCCCCTGGACGTAGTTCAAGCCCTTCTATGGGCCTGCCTGGCCGGAGGGTTCAGAACCTCGATTCCCCAATGCCACCAAACACCCCCGTCCCAGGTTTGTGAACCAATCGCATCATGGACGAGATGACATGCCGAGTGGCTAAATCCTTTGACAGATCCACAGAAGTCGCAGTCCTTCGACAGATCCACACGCCGACCCAGTGTTCTCTCGTCCATCGAAACAAGCGACGTCGTTCAACCTCGTCCCAGGCTGCAGAACGGATTCCGTCGTGATAGTAACAGCCCTTCAAGGCAACGTGCTCAGCCGATAGTCTCCTCACCCTCACGAGAGGATTTCCCCCCCATGACACCAGAACCTACCTCATCCGAGGGAACTGCCTCAAGAAGGCCGTCCATATCCGCCATACCTCCTTTGCTCATGGCACCCCCAACAACATGGAGGGGCGACATCCAACACAAGCTCGTGCTCGCTGGGCATTACGGTTCTCAACTGGCCGGCCTCAGTGAGGCGTCGGCACCGCTCCTCCTTCGCCTGGGAATATTCTTCGGCAAGCTGGCCACCCTCGCCCGACCCTGCTGGCCCTACATGTTCAACCCCTGGATCGGCGCCTCCCTCATCGCCCTGGCCGCTCTAGACCTAGGCATCCTCGACGCCCGAAGCAGACGCGGCAGCATGCATGATCGGGCCGGCTGGATCGGTCAGCGCCGAAACACAGTCGACAGCCTGGGCACGCGCGAGGTCCGCACCAGTGCCCTCCTGCTGTTGCTGCATTTTGCCGTGCTTTGGACGGCGCAACGATGGGCGCCGCTCTGCGCGATGGTCCCGCAACCGTGGCATGAGTTGCCGGCGACGGGTGATACAAGTGCATAGCGTTGCGAGCAAGCGAAATAAATCTAATAAAGTGACTAGATACCCAGTCAATTAATGTTATACCCGGCAATGTAGTCGTATGATACGAATGGGCCAGACCAAATAATCAAGTAGAGCAGTAAGCCTCGACGTTAGCCTGGGCTGGCTTTCGTGTTTTCGGCAGAACTTACCAGCGGCGCGAGCACATTGATGTTCCTGTTGTGAGGTGCATCGTATTCCCTTTGGTAACAAGAATCATGTCTCAATTTCTGGCGTATGCGCCAGTCCCCTCCACTGATCTTCCACTGATCTTCCACTGATCTTCTACGTACTGATCAAACACGAACCCGCATCACATTGCTACACCGAACACCTGACCTCCGAAGCTGCCGAGGACAAGGTCAAACCCACATGATCCCACAGATACACCCTCCAACAAGAAACCCGGAAACAAATAGAGACACAACGATCACATAGCCTCCACAGCCCGAAGCAGCACGTCGACATTGCCCACCTCCTCCTCGTCCCGCAGCAGAGATGCGACGTCGCTGAGCATGCCCAGCGGGATGTAGCAGCCCGTCTTGGCCTTCTCAAGGCTCTCCTTCAGGCGGCTCGTGTGCTCCCACTCGCGGGCGGCGACCTCTGCGCGCTCAATGATGCGATTGTTAATGCCGCACATGGCGGCGCAGTGCATGCCGAAGCTGCCCTCGGCGACGCCGTCCTCGAGCTTGTACAGGAAGGTGACGCGGCGCTCGGCCTCGTCGACGTGGATCTGCATGCGGCGGGCGCGGACCTCGGGGTGGTTCTCAAACTCGGTGGCGAGGGAGTGGTAGTGCGTCGCGAAGAAGCCGATGCAGCCGACGTGCGTGGCGACGTGGTGCAGGACGGCCTGGGCGACGGCGACGCCGTCGTAGGAGCTTGTGCCGCGGCCGAGCTCGTCGAGGATGACGAGCGAGCGGGGCGTCGCCTCGGCGAGGATCTTCTTTGTCTCGGAGAGCTCGACGAAGAAGGTGGACTGCGAGGCAAAAATATTGTCGTTGGCGCCGAGGCGAGACATGATGCGGTCCACGGGTGTCAGGCGGGCCGAGGTCGCGGGGACGTAGCATCCGATCTGGGCCATGATGACGGCTGTGCAGGTCTGCGTCATGTCAGTGAGGAGGCCGAGATTCTATCAGCATCAGCGACTTACCATGCGGAGGACCGTTGACTTTCCGGCCGCATTGGCGCCCGTGAGAAGGTTGATCTTGGCCGAGTTACCGCCCAGTTCGATGGCGTTGGGGATGAAGTCAGAAACTGTGTTCAGCATGCACGGGTGACGCAGTTCGTCAAACTCCACCAGGCTTCTCTCCTCGTCAACAAACTGCGGACGGCAGCTTGGCTCGCCCAAAGACGACGAAGCCTTCGCAAGGCTGACCAGGCAGTCGAGCTGGGAGATGATACGGATCGCTTGCAGCCACGTCGCGTAATCCGCGTCGAAACGACGGAAGAAGCGCGAAGCGACTTCCTTCATGATCTGGCCGTGGGTCTCTTCAGCTTCTTGCAAATCCCGTACCAGCTCGGTCAGGGCATCGAAATAGTACCGCTTGACGCTGGACGTGGCCGACATCTGCCTCCAGCTGGAAGGAACCTTGGTCGACTTGGGT